TGTCTGGCTTCTCTAGGCATCTGGCTTGTGTAGGTTGGTTTAAATGTATGCATTTGAAAATGTATTTTATCGTATAATTAATTCTGGCATGTCTTTAAAGATAAAGCAGTATGCCTGTGTACCAGCTTCTCAAACAGCCATAGACCTATTTCTTGACAGTGTGTGTGTGGAATATTAAAGTATCTTTGCTTTTTTTAGGAACTTGGAAGGAATTCAAACCTTTTACACTTTAGAACTTTCAGGCTATAGGAAGTATTTTTTATAAGAACAAGCTTTTAAACCTTGGAAATGTGTTTACTAAAAGGGTTTTTGGATCTCCTATGAAGATTTTTCTAAAACTTTTTTTGTGTTGCTGTTCCTTCAACTTTCAAATGTTGAAACTTTATGGATTTTTAACCTGTGATTAACTTGACTATATTATTAACTTGGTGATTTGGGTTTGTTGTTTTCTCAGTCCTAACCATTTTGTTCCTCTCTCTTTTTAACAGCTCACAAGCACAGAAAAATTATTTTCATAGAAATCTGACTGCATCTCTAACTAAAAATACTGAAAAGAATATAAATTATACCAAAAGAGGCGTGGTCTTCAGTGTGGATTCCTGGACATCGGTAAGAATTTTCTGCTTTTCATGGAGAGAAAGGACCACGCTTCCTGTGATATCTTGTGTGGCGTCAATGGCTATTTAATCATTCATCGGAAGTCACCTGGGCATGTGCCAGGCCGGCACAGATCCTCAACCTCCAAATCTGGTCTGTTCCAGACACATCCTGAGATGCGAGTCTGGACTTCAGTGGCCTTTGGCAAGTCTGGTGGTGCCCAAGGCGGCCCCGGGCTCCCAGGCCAGTCTGGCTTTGTCCTTAGTGCAAAGCATGCCAGCAACATCGAATGCACCCTGTGCAGAGCCCCAGCTGAAGGATGCCATGGCATATGCAGTTCATCCATGAGCTCGTCTTTAAGTGTCAGATACTCTGCTGGGGGGAAATGAGATGAAAGGCAGATAGACTCTGATCTCTAGAAAATGTCAAGCTAACAGGAGCGATGCATACAAAAATAAACCAGACATGAATAGAATGCAATGAATATCATGGTGGAGTGGGGGAATACTTAGCCTCTATGATGACAATTAAATCCCTGCTACCAGAGAAGGCTTCACGGAGAAGGTGGCATTTGAGTTAAGCCTTGAATAGTAGGTAGAATTTCATCAGTGAGTGTGTATTTCTGGCAGTGGGTTGGGAAAGTTTCAGGATTTTGGAAATCTGAGTAGTCTGGTTTGCCTGGAACACAAGACAAGGGACACAAGGTGCCAGGAGAGGGTTGGGAAGGTAAGTAGGCATGGGATTGTCGGGGGCTCCTAATGTCGGGGGAGTGTTTAGATGGCACCGTGAGTGGCGTCTCCTGGAGCTGAGCGAGGGCCTGGGCAGGACCTGCGTTGTGAGTGTGCTGCCTGTGCAGACACACAGAAGCTCTGCAGCCATGCTCAGCAGGGCCCCACCCTTGGCTATGTGCTCAGCTGTCACTGCCTTAACAATCTTCAGACTTGAGTAAGGGGCTTCGTATTGCATTTTGCGATGGGCTCTGCACATTATGTAGCCCAGCCTAGATCTGGGAACCTCTGTCAAAGCACGTGCCATTTTGTTTTGCAACTATTTGTATCTGTCTCTTGCAAAAGAAAACATCGTGGATGAGAAGAACTTTATATTCCCAAGGCCCGTCACGGGGCCTGGCACACAGGAGCCTATTCATTGCTTCCGGGGTGACTGAGAGCCAGGGCTCAGCATCAGGGTCAGCAGCCTGGGGGTAGCCTGCTGGAGGGGTTGGAGGGGAGGAACAGGCGCAGCCGCTTCCTGCAGGGCCCTTCACGCCTCGCTGCTGGCTGCCCCATGGCTCTGAGCTGACACTGCTCTTGTTTGGTCACCTTTGGGTGGACTGAAAGTTGTGTCCCCTGAGCTCCGATGGATCTAGTACCCAACTGGGCTGTTCAGGGCCACTCCAGTCTGCATCCTTGCAGTAACTGTGTTGAGAATGATTCAGCATCCCAAGCTCAGGGGCTTGCTCTCCCCCAGGTCCCTCTCATACAGTCACCTGCCTCTCACGCCTGCCAGGCTTCTTGGGACTCGAAGCATCTTAATTTGGGTGTGGATTGGAAGGTTTTCGGCCTCCTGCTGTTACAGTTCCTTTGACTGGAGGAAAAAAAGAAGATGTACACACACACACACACACACACACACACACACACACACACACACACACAAATTACATTCTAGATTACATGAACTTGTTTTTTAAAAAAATTTAGTCCATAAAAGTGATTTTGTTCAGTTACATTCTGCAAATTGGTACAGGCCATCTTGACTTCTTTGGTTGGGGTTAAGGTCCAGCTAGCTCTTTCCGTGCTGGCCCCGACTTCAGGGCTGTAACTACTATAGCTCAGCACATGTTGGGGGGGAGCGATGTCACTCTCCTAAGTGATCTTACCTGTTGATAGGACTCCACGTTTTATTTTCTAGCATTTGAAAAACTCATTTCTTTTACAAAAGTCCGGTGCTTTGACAGGACACAGTAGCTTTGTCGATGATGCTGTGTGTCTTTACCTGTCATTCTTCTGTTTTAGGATTCCCTGTCCTTTATGTACCAGGCTTTGGAAAGGAATATCCGGATGATATTTACAGGCAGCTCTCAGCGGCCACTGAAGCACGTATCCAGCCCTTTAGCATCTTACTTCTTGTCACTTCCCTATGCGAGGCTTGGCTGGTAGGAATGAGTTCATCCAATTCTTGCACATTATCATCAGTGTTAATTTCATTCTGTCATTCAACAAATGTATCAAATGGCACCTGTTAGCACCTTATTTTCCAATGAATTCACCATCAACAAAGACATTAACTTAGTGATCATTGTAAAGATAAAACCCTATCCTTAAAAATTTGTCAAAATGTGTTTAAAACAGGAGCTTTCACTTTACTAAATAATCACAACAATGACATATTAACTTATAGAATATTTGTCAAGCTTCAGTGTTCTTGAGCTGTATTGTTACAAATTTTGGGGAAATCGAATAGCATGAGAAGAATAAAAGAAGATAGTTATATGTTGATTGGAATATTGTAGCTTCATATGGCAAGAGCCTAGTACACTATGGTGACTTTATAGAGGATGTTAGAGAATCCTCTGAATTTAAAAATCAACCTACACTGAGCCCAAAGATGGAAAAGTAACTATTTTCTGGAGGTTTTGGTGAAACCTCTTTTTTAAACTACACTTCTTATAGTGAAATGACATTGCATTTCCCTCGGGACAATTACTGACAGCCCTTCCTCTTTGGGTCACTCATATGTCAGCTCTGGCACAGGGAGTGGGAGGTGAATGCTGTCTTTCTGGCCATTCACTTGTGGACAGTGGCTCTTCTTGGCTGCCTTCCTGAAATATTTTTAAAAAGGCTCCCTGCTGGGCTGACAGTTATGTTGTGGGGTGTGGGGCAGCCAGGTAGAGGTCCTTGTAGGGCATCACTGGCCAGTGTCCTGCCTCAGGAATGCAGAGACCAGCAGCATCTCCAAGGCATGGGTGGCTGGCCCCTTCACCAGGCATCACACCTTTTAAAATCCACCCTTCTCTTGTTCCCTTGTTCTGCCCTGTGTTCTTCATGTGGCCAATAAGAGCTAGAATAAGTAAAGGACTTTTGGTCTTTCCAGGCCACCAGAGGCATTTGAACCTTTGACTCAGTTTGTCCATCTCTGTGTCTGGTAGGTCATGAAATCTTGTTTACAAACATCCACTACATATGTTGGCCATTGAATTTTTTTCCCAGTACAAAGCACCCTCTGCAGCTGTGGTAGAAATGAAAAGGTATACTTAACACAGCTGATCTTTGGTCAGGTGACACACTGAAATGAGCTGAGCTGATCAAAAAGCAGACTGTGCTACTGGCTGGATGGTTTTAGAGGAGGAGCCTGCCATTGTGCTTTTCTGCTCTGGGTTTTACATGTAGGATGTGATGCTCTGAGAGGATGCTTTCCATCTGCTCAGGGTACATAGTCCAGAGATGCTCAGAGGACTTGATTTGTCCAGTTTTTATTATTATCATTATCATTATTATTATTATTATTATTAGGGTTCTCAGCTAAGAACCTAGAAGGGTAAAAGGATAATTTTTTCTCCTCCCCTACAGTCTATGTATATGTGTATATTATTATAGAACAAGACTGTGAATCACACACACAGTATCACTTCAGAGTAAATATTCCGTGGAAGGATGGAAAATCAGTGAGAGGAAGTTAAAGTGCTAGATTCCAGAAAGAGAAGCAAGTAGACAGTCTTACCCATAGTTCTCAGCAGACACTGCAGTGGGTTCTCTCTTTGTCCCTATAGGGCAATGACCTCGGCTGACCTCAACCAGGATGGGCATGGTGACCTGGTGGTGGGTGCCCCAGGCTACAGCCGCCCTGGCCACATCCACGTGGGGCGTGTGTACCTCATCTACGGGAACGAACTGGGCTTGCCCCCCATCGACCTGGACCTAGACAAGGAGGCCCACGGGGTCCTCGAGGGCTTCCAGGTAAGGTGCTCATCACCTCATGTTTTACTCAGTAAGCCAGTGCTCTCATTTTGCGGCAAATTCTCCAGGATGAATAACCAACAACAAGAACGATGAAAGTAACAGCCGGGGGCCTACACTGTGTAGCACTTTTCATTGAAAGCATATTCATTTATCTCATTCTATCATTAGCTTTTAGTCTAACACCATCCGAAAACACATACTATTTAGAACTGCTTTCAGAAGCCGATCAGGATGTGATTTTTTGATAAAACCTACTTTTTAAAATATATGTATCAATGTTTTGTAAGAATTTTAGATTCACGGAAAAGTTGAAAAGACAGTACAGAGTTCCCATACCCTCTTTACTTACTTTCCCCTGTTCACGTTTAACATAATTGTGATATACTTGTCAAAATTAAGAGATTGACGTCAGTACATTACTATTAACTCCAGACTTCGTGCAGATTTCATTGCTCTGTTTTAAGTGGTTATTCATCACCGGGAAAACTGCACAATGATTGTACAAATGTCCCATGTGGAGTCCACACTAGGGTCCTAGAGGGGTTTCCTCTGGGCTGTCGCTGGCATTCGCCTTACGGAGCAGTAGCAGGGGCAGAGCCAGCTCCACTGCGAGTCACAGGCGAGTGTGGGCTTTTGGGGCACTGTGTGCTTTGAACGTCGAGCATCAGGGGAAGGAACCCTGAATTTGGGTCTGAGCGTGGTTCTTGTGCCAGACAGGCCATTAAACCTTTCACTGTGGTGTTAATTCCGTGAAGACAAAATAAGATGGCATGCCTGAACATACTTTAAAAAATGACAAGTACAATGGTTTTGATTTAGTTTACTCTCTCATGGAAGGAGCCCCTAATCCAAGAGATGTGAATAAATTGACTGGCGGGTGAGGTCACACAGTCCAGAGGGATGGCATTCTCTGGAACCTTGTGATGCCTATGAGAAAGTTCCACAATAAATATAGCCATCTCTGTTCTTCACAAAGCCATTCCCTTGTCGGATTGTTGTGTGAAGTGTGATCCTTTGGGCTCCTACAGACAGGAAATAAGAGGCAGCTGCTTCCGGGGATAAACTCTCCCAAAGACACATGGGGCAAGGAAGGAGGTGGCTCCATGCCCTCTTCCCCAGTGACCTTTGTGAACTCAGCAGATTAAAGCATGGGTGAGGGACCCTCTGGAGTCCTGCACTCTAGCCCTGGTCTGCAGTTAACCTTCCTGTGTCCTTGTCTATAAAATGGAGGATCAGGATGACTGTCCCAAGCGCTTATCTGCTTTAAAACTGTTTCTCTAGGAATGACTGGTTAACCCGCAGCAGCGCTTGAGGGTGCACTGGTGGTGGTGAAATGAAGCCGTCCTCTGTTGGGAGGGTCCCTGCTTGTTGGTCCCCACCCTGCCCCAAGGTGCTTTGTGTCCCGAGCAGCCCCTTCTTGTTTATCCAGTTCCTGCCTTGCAGAAAGGGGCCTGTTCCTAATAGCCATTGCAGATGGGCGGAGAGAGATTATGTAATATGTAATACACATGGGGGGTGTGTGTGTGTCACGTGGCAGACTCTGCCTTGTTATGTAAGTTCTGAAAGAATAGCACAGCCTATGAGTCTAGGCTGATTCTAGACCGTAGGGGAAGATCTAGAGAATTCATCTTGGAAGAAAATTGTCCTTGAATGAACTCAGTTTTCCATCAGTAAAAGTGATGGCAATAAAACCGTAAAAGTGGGGGCAATAAAAGTACCTATCTTAGTCCCTATACTGTGCTTAGAGCGGTGTCTCCAGCAGTGTTACCCAACAGTACTTTCAGGAGCGATGGGAATGTTCTGTAGCTCTGCCACCCAGTGTGGGAGCCAGTATGCGCACTGGCTTTGGAGTATTTGCAATGTGGCCAGTGCAGCCGAAGAGCTGAACTTTTAATTTGTTCAATGTTAATTAAGTTTAAATATAATGGCCACATTTAGCTAGTGGCCACCACATTGGACAGTGTGGTACTAAAACATCCTCCTGTTTGCTGCTGTTATGGATTATTATATTGGATACTTTCCAGGAGCAGTTCGGTCTTAATGGGGGGCTTAGCGCATGCCGGGCCATTTTCTAAAAACCTAAAACGTACCGACCCTTTCCTTTCCGGCACCCTGTCTTCCCTTCAAGGCAGTCGGACAAGCCAAATGTCTCGCCAGGCCAGAGCTACCCAGCTGGCGCTGCGGACGTGTCATAGGTCGCTGCACTTTTGTTTCTCAGCCCTCGGGTGACGATGGCCGGGGGGCTGTCTGCTGCCAGGGTGTCAGCAGTGCTCTCTGAAGCTGTGGCTTAGCCCGGGGAAAACAACCTGTGCCTTTTCAGCCCTCAGGCCGCTTTGGCTCGGCCGTGGCCGTGCTGGACTTCAACAAGGACGGCGTGCCAGACTTGGCTGTGGGAGCTCCCTCGGTGGGCTCGAAGCAGCTCACCTATAAGGTAAGGGTGCTGCTGGGTGCGGGGGTGGGAGGGTGGGAGGGAGGACCTGCTGAGGGCGCTGGTGCTGGACAGAGCCTCTGGGGAGAGCAGACAACCAGATGTGCCCGGGCAGGGACTTTGGGCGTAGGTGGCCTCGGGCTCCCCATTCGGGTCCTTAATGTGACCCTAGTTGCCTGGCAGTACCCATTCCTGCCTCCCTAGCCTCAGTCTGCCTAATGGTTTCCCATTTCCAGCAAGTGCTCGCCGCCAAAGCTTTCCTCCCATGATACTGAATTACAGCAAAGGTGACAAAAATTCCAGCCAATGCATCACATTCTGTCACCCCAGTAAAGGTGACTTTCCTGGATCTTTCTTATTAGGCACAAACCTATCTGTTTCCTTTTTCCTACTGAGAGCAGAGATCCTGGGTCCCAGCCCACGAGCTCTTCCCACATGTGCTTGTACCAGAGCCAGGTAGAAGCAGCTGGCACAGGAGTGACAGGAGGTCAGAGGCCCCACGTTACCTGCTGCGGGCTCACCTCTGCCCCTCCCTCCTCACTGTTTCTCAACACTTGAACCATTTGTCATTAGACCCAGCCGGAGTGACATGTCAGTCCCTGCAGGGGATGTTGTGTAATCCCTGGGTTAGGGCACTTTGTGGTCCTAACATAGCATTGTGAGCTTGTACGTGTCGTCGCCCCTTCTAGGTTGTGGTGTCATCTGCCTGTTTGCCAGCTTTGTGGGAGGACAGAGGTTGGTCTTTTTTATCATTGCCTTCCAAGGACTTGGCTGGGGATGGAAAATAAATGCTTGCAGAATGAGTGGGGGTGGAGATAGGCAAGTCAAAGACAGGAACTGGTCCATAACACAGTGTGTGTCCCAAGGCCAACGAATGGTGCCACAAATGGTAGCTACATGGTGTGTTCATGTCCAGAGGAACAATGGGCTGAGCCAGAAACCGAGCTGGGCCTTGAACACGGGAAGTGAAGTCACCTGCAAAAACTGAGCAATTATGTGGGGCAGATCCCAAGCCAGACACTGGGGAGGTGAAGGTAAACCAACGGTTTTTGCTTTGGAACTCTAATAGTCTGATGCAAGAGACACAAACACACAAAACAACCACTGCAGTGCAGCCCCAACGTACAGGGCAGGCTTGTGTCCGTCACCAAGCTCCTGCTCGTGGGGAGCTCTGATGGTGACTCATTTCGTCGTTAGTCCTCTTGCTCTTGCTATTTTTAAGGGTCCTGGGTTGCACTCAGCCTTATGGCCACCCTGGGTTTGTCCTTGCCTAGGGTGCAGTGTACGTCTACTTCGGTTCCAAGAGAGGAAGCATGTCTCCTTCCCCCAACATCACCATTTCTTGCCAGGTATGTTGACCACCTTAGCAAGGTGCAGACATTAGCACGCCCCATCCTAAGTGCCTCCAGGACAGAGTCAAAAGTGGTCTCCTGGTTTCCTCCCAAGGACACATACTGTAACCTGGGCTGGGCGCTCGTGGCTGCGGACCTGAATGGAGACAGGGAGCCCGATCTGGTCATTGGCTCCCCTTTCGCACCAGGCGGAGGGAAACAGAAGGGGATCGTGGCTGCATTTTATTCTGACCCTGGCCACAGCAACAAAGGTAATACTTGTTGGGGGAAGGCAAGGGCCTTCCTTGCTCTAGTCTGTGGGACTTCTCGCATATAGGTCCTTTTTCCCTCATTCCATATGCTTTCACCTAAATTTTCTGACAGTCTCTTATTCTTGCAATGTTCTGGCAAGTGATAGAAGTAGATTCACGGAATGTACAAAAAAGGACCCAACTTCTGGGTCCAGAACCAAAGAGTGCCACGGGCTTATTCTCCTAGTCTCCCACTGTAAGCAGAAACACCAGAGGCATCCCAGCGACACTCTGAAGTGTCCAAGAGGGGCTCTTTGTAAATAGCATCCTCCACTCTGTGGAAGTGAGCTCAAGATATGCACTTCACATGACATTTAAGGTCCATTTCTAATGTTGGGGTCTTAAGAACAGTGGCGGGGGCCTAGAAAGGTTCTGGCAAAAACTAAGTGGAATGAATCCATTTCTCATTAGCCTACAGAGAGAGCCCATTATTTCCACTCCAGCAGTCCTCCCACTTGAAATAAAAGGGACCGTTTGTCTTGTGTAGAAAAGCTGGACGTGGAGGCGGCCGACTGGATGGTGAGAGGTGAGGCGGACTTCGCCTGGCTGGGGTACTCCCTTCACGGTGTCAGCGTGAACAACAGAACCCTGCTGTTGGTGGGGAGCCCAACCTGGAAGAACACCAGTAGGTGAGCGCTGAAATTGGGGCCCAGGGACCTCTGAGCACCAGGGGCAGGTGCCTGCTACTGTGGGAGCCCCGTAAGTGTAGGGTTCAGAAAAGGGGGCTAAGAAATTCTAACCCTTCAAGGAAAAGCTAAGGCTCTGGGGCAAGGTTGCAAATTCTTTGAGGTTTAAAAATGAGGTAAACAGGTTAGTTTTCCAGGGCTACAGTAATGAAGGGCCACAGGTGGGCGGCTTAAGCAACAGGAATTTATTTTCTCAGTTCTGGAGGCTGAAAGTCTGAGATCAAGGTGTTAGCAGGGTTGGTTTCTTCCAAGGCCTCTCCTTGTTTTGGCCACAGCCAACTTCTCAGTGTGTCCTCACATGGCCTTTTCTCTCGGTGCCCATCCACGCTGTCTCCCCCTCTTTTTATAAGAACAAGTCAGATTGGGTCAGGGCCCACCCTAATGACCTCATTTTAACTTAATTAACCCTTTAAAGACCCTTATCTCCAAATACAGTCACATGCTGAGGGACTGGACATTGGGACTTCAATATACGAATTTTGTGGAAGGGGCGGCGGGGGGGAAATTCAGCCTGTAACAGTGGGCATCCCTGTATTTGCTGTCAGTTAGGGGCAGAATGGTGGGCGTCGTATCTGCAGAGCCTTGATATCAGCATCCACTCGGAAAGCCTCCCTGCCCCCACTCCCATGCCTAGCGTCGCAGGATGAACATGCAGGGAGGGGAATGGTGGGGGAGGGGTGGGACTGGTACCGCTGTCTTTCCTTGGACCTGAGTACCTGGCCAGCTCCTGGCCTTGTGCCCCAGTGCTAAGCCCCGTGTGTTTCATTCCAGTCTGGGCTATTTGTTCCACACTCGTGATGAGAAACAGAGCCTCGGACGGGTGTATGGCTATTTCCCACCAAACTGCCACAGTTGGTTTACCATTTCTGGAGACAAGGTATGGCAGCCCCTCCCTCCCCAAGAGAGTGGACACCATACAGTTTTCTTAGCTGTACTTAACTGATTATATTTCACAGGCAATGGGGAAACTGGGTACATCCTTGTCAAGTGGCCATGTAATGGTGAATGGGACCCAGACACAAGTGCTGCTGGTTGGCGCTCCAACTCATGGTAGGTCACGAACCATGAAATTTTGCTTCCTTTTAGTTATACAGCTCCATGACCACACTGTATTGGGGGAAAGTTGAGATCTGGAGTCAGACAGACCTGAGACAAACCTGAGTTTTCATATTTCGTTTGTGTAACCTTGGGGAAGTTACTTAACCACCCTGAATGTTAATATCATCATCTGCAAAATACAGATAATAACATCCGCTTCAAATCACACATGAAAGTAACTGTTTTTAAAGCTTCTCTCCCAGTCTGAAGCTACAGAGGAGCTCAGCAAATTTTATAAATCTCCAGAAATCGGTCCACTCTGAGGGCAAATGTTAATATGCCATTTTTTATTTTAAAAAATCTCCCTCAAAGATTATAAAAGTAAATCACACTTATTGTAGAAATTCAAAAATACAAGGAAATATATAGAAAAATCACCCTTATCCCGTTGTTTAAAAACTTAAGCTCATACTAGATATATAATTTCGTTTTAAAATTTATATCTTGAGTGGGTTTTCATGTTATTAAATGTTCTTCTAAAACATTATTGTTTTCCATATGCACATGCCAATATTTATTAACATCATCCTGTTGCTGGAAGTGTAGATTGTCTCTAATTTTTTTTTTTTTTGCGAATAAGGTATTATTGAACATGCCTTTCTAATTAGTTTTTTTGAGGGATTCTTGGAGGTGGAACAGTTGGACTAGAGGGTCTAATCTTTTTTAAGGCTCTTATTACATGTCATCAAATTTTCAGGAAGATTTTTTGGGGGGGTGTCAAAATTATATATTTTTTATATTATGTAACTTGTTTCAAAAATATGTTTTCATTCAGTTTTGACACCTTATCTGTAAATGAGAATTCACTGAATGTTCATGGCAAGACATTACTCTGATTAGAGAGAATCTGTTATATTGATTAGATGTTCCATATTTGTCAAAACTGAAGTCTGATATATAACATTAGTTTCAGGTATACAAAATGATTTGATATTGTAGATACTGCAAAATGATCATCACAGTAAGTCAACATCATCACCAGTTACAAAACTTTTTCTTGTGATGAAAACTTTTAAGATTTACTGTTGTAGCAACTTTTAAATATGCACTGTATTATTAAATAGTTAATAATACAGGATTATTAACTATCGTCACCATGCTGTACCTTACATCCCATGACTTTAGAACTAAAAGTTTGTACCTTTTGACCCCCTTCACCCATTGCATCCTCCCCCAACCCCCACCTATAGCAACCACCAATCTGTTCTCTATATGTATGAATCTGGGTTTTTTTGTTTTAGATTCCACATATGAGATCATATGGTTATTTGTCTTTCTCTGGTATATTTCACTTAGCATAGGCACTCAAGGTCCATTCATGTTGCAAATGGCAAGATTCCATTTGTTTTTATGGCTGAATAATGTTCCACTGTTTTTATATATCATATTTTGTTTATCCACTCATCCATCAATGGACACAACAGTTGTTTTCATGTCTGGGCTATTGTAAATAATGCTGCATTAACATGGGAATGCATATCTTTTCAAATTAGTGTTTGTTTTCTTCAGATGAAACCCAGAAGTGGGATCGCTGGGTCATAGGTAGCTCTATTTTTAACTTTTTTGAGACACTTCCATACTTTTTTCCATAGTTACTGCACCAATTTATTCCCACCACTGCACAAGGGTTCTCTTTTCTCCACATCCTCACCAATACTTGTTTGTTGATTAATAGCCATTCTGACAGGTGTGAGGTGCTATCTTTTTAGTTTTGATTTGCATTTCCCTGATTAGTGATGTTGAGCATTTTTTCATGTACCTGTTGACCATCTATCTGCATATCTTCTTTGGAAAAATGTCTATTCAGATCTTCTGTCCATTTTTAAATTGGATTGTTTGGGGGGTACTTTTGCTACTGAATTATATGAGTTCTTTATCTATTTCAGATGTTAACCTCTTATCAGATATGCGATTTGCAAATATCTTCTCCCATTCTATAAGTTACTTTTCAGTTTTGTTGGTTTCCTCTGCTGTGCAGAAGCTTTGTAGTTTGATATAGTCCCATTTGTTTATTTTTGCTTTTGTTGCCTTTGCTTTTTATGTCGGATCTAAAAAATCAGACCAATGTCAAGGAGCTTACCATCTATTTTCTAGTTTTATGGTTTCAGGTCTTAAGTCTTAAATCCATTTTGAGTTAATTTTTGTATATGGCGTAAGATGGTGGTCCAGTTTCCCCAATATACAGTCTCAGCTCCTTTGCCATAAATTAATTGACCATATATGGTGGGTTATTTCCAGGCTCTCTATTCTGTTCCATTCATATAGGTATCCGTTTTATGGCAATACTATACCGTTCTGATAACTGTAGCTCAGAAATATTTGTTTCTTACAATATGGGAAAGATTTGAATAATAAGCAGAAATGAATTATGTAATTACATGTTTGAGGACACAACACTGTTACAACAAAAACTTGCTGACTTAGCTTTGGAATAGTTTTTCTGTTTTCCTTTATAGTCTAGTGATTTCTAAACTCTTGCAACACACATTGATTTTATTTTTTTCACCACTCTTTCTACCAGAGTGCTATGAATTAGAGCGTCCCAAAATTTATTGGTTTTAGTGCAATTACTGTCTCCGTTAATATTTTCTATTATAAAATGTAGCAAAATAGAAAAAGATAATTGTAAATTCACATGCATCATAAGAATAAAGCCCATGTTACGTTTTATAGTTTTCCTCAAGATATCTTACAACAATATCACAAGCAGGTTATCATCACTGATGCAATCCACAAATCTTGAGATTTTTCTCATTTTTACTTGTATTTTATCCACATAATTTGTGAGGCCCAGTACAACAGAAAAATGTGGAGACTTTTGTTTAAAAGTTACTCAGAATTTCAAGTCAGTGATGAGAGCATTAAGCCAAGCCTGGCCCTGTGTGACTGACTGCACTCCTTTTGGGCAATGGCCAATCTCTCAAACCTTGGAACCAAATTAGACACTTCTACCCTCATTTCCAATCCACTGATGTTCTTGTGGTACCTACATTTTACCATAACTCCTGAAATGCCAGTTGCAAAAATAGGATATTTTGAAAGGCATGTCGGGATCTAATGTTGAAACTGTGAGCTGCCTGCCTCCAGCAGGTGGTTCATGTGTCATCTGGGAGATGTCACTGTTACCTTCGAAAATTCAGTGTATCTGCAGTGTCCCTTTGAGCTCACGGAAATGCTTCAATGTGCAGTCTGGAAATCACGGCTCTGCTGTAGAGATTAGCCTCAATTTGAAAAAATTGGGTCTACTTCCAGGGCAACCCCCCAAAGTGGCAGTTTGGGCTTCGTGTATGTCAGTCAGGCAGATGCCGCTCTCACCGTCCTGTCTGGCTCAAAAAAATCTTTGGTTCACTGTGGCCACTATAAACAACAAGCAGTTTACTGGGGATTTTAGGGTGCTGATTAAGAACAATGTACTTTCAGTATGAAAAAGAAAATACTCAGTGATGGCAAGGTTAGGGTGAGATGGGCACTCATATGCTGCTGGTGAAATGTAAATTAATCTAACTTTTCTAGAATGAGGTCTGGCAGTTGGCAAGAGCCTTAAAAATATTCATTTCCTTAGATACCACATGGACCAATTCTAAGAATTTGTTCTCAGAAAGTATTCAGAACTGTGGGAAGAACATTTATCACAATATTAATTATAATAGCAAAAAATACATTTGAAGACATTTGAGAAGTAGACTCATGAATCAGTATCAGATATGCGTCTCCTGGAAACTAGATTAGAGAATGTGGCTAGACGGGCAAGTTTTCCAATCCTTGCCCCAGCTGTAACTAGGGCAACTTCCCTGAGGGAGAGTTTGGGTCTGTGTGGCAGACACACAACGTCAAAGTCCAGTAGAAGCAGCAGAGAGGTGGAATCAGGCCTGAATCTAGAAGGCAGACCTGGTCATGGCCCCCGTGTGCTCCTGCATGAAGCAGAGGCAGAGTGAGAAACCACACATCTCCTCTTCCCTGTAGCAGACACAGCTCCAAGTGTTACTGTATTTTGTCACTCAAGGACTTCAGGTTCCCCGAAGCATAAGAAGGGAATAAGGATTTTCTCATTTCAACTTTTCTTGATACTTTGGGCTTTCACTCTGAATACTTATTGTACTTTATTAAAACATTCTTCCCGTGGGGGCTGTTAGTTCAGGTTACCATTAAAGAGCCTGAGATTGCTGAGCTTTAAGTATTCTTTCTTGTCTATGTTTTTTTCCCTATTGGTGGCTCTCTGAGCTCTCAGTTGCTTCTAGTTGACAGCCAGCTATAAGAAAGGGTATAAGGTTGTCCAAGAACACAGTCAAATCCGTCATCTGTTTTACCCACAGTATTTAGACACTGATGCAAGAGTATCTATCACATTACTCGGCTCACAGTAAGCCTTGCAGAGAACCAACCCCAGCTCATTGATGCTATTGTGTTTTGGAGAAGGTACTCATTTCTGAAATCAAGGCTGTGTTCCAAATAATTAAGTTTATAGGCAAATTTCTAACTAGCTTTGTTTTGAAGTTATTCAAGATTTATTCATTCAAAAAACCATTTATCCGTCCTCGTACTGCACCAGGATGCACTGCTATGCACTTTGTGCCGACCAGGATCTCACTGCTTACGGAACGTGACAACCTGATGCAGAGACACAGGTGAACAAAAACAATGCTGCCTTGCCAAGGCACTAGGCAGGCAGTAGGCAGTGTGGTATGGCACACATAGGAGTGGCACCTACTCTACACCAGGAAGGTAAGGAAAGGCTTCCCAGAGGACGGAAAACGAGCCAAACTCTGCAGGGGAAGGAGCTGGCCAGCAGAAAGGTGTGAACAGAGAACGAGGGTGTAAAGCAAGGGCTGTCCATTCCAGGCAGACAGCACATCACATTGAAAGGCCCATTATGTTTCCAGGTGTAGGAAATGGGTTGTGGGTTGTGGTGACATGTGGGTGAAAAGGGGGAAGTGACTGCAAACGTTGGAACTATTAAGTAGGAGTCAGATTCTGTAAGGTCTTGTGGGTCTGCTAAGGACTTGCCAAAAATTTGGATTTCAAAGGGCAGTTGTGATGTAAAAGGATGTTTAGAGGGAGAGAAGTACTGCAGGGGGCAAGACTGGAAGAACACCTGTTTGATCGAATATCACTGAGCTGATCCAGTGTTCGGATCTTGGTGCCCAAGCTAGTCTTATCTTCCTAACCACCAGAGCTGACTGGCACTAAAACCACCTGTCCCGTGTGATTCTGCATGATCTATGTCACTTATAGTATAGAAGGATGATGCAAGGATTTAATTCAGTGCTTTACATTCTACCATCGTTCTTGTGATGGCAGCAGGTACTGTACTGTTTTATTTCAGATGATGTATAAAACCATGACTTTGCACCAAGGTGGAGCCACTAGGATGTATGAACTGACACCAGACTCGCAGCCTTCACTGCTCAGCACCTTCAGTGGAGACCGCCGCTTCTCTCGGTTTGGAGGAGTTCTGCACTTAAGCGACCTGGATGATGATGGCATAGGTAGGAAACGAACAGTGCCTCTGGTCGAGAACTGAGTCTCTTTTCCCAATAGATTGGTCCCCTAGGATCTGTCCTCATAGTTGACAACCTTGTGGCCCAAGGACCTTTAGACATATTTTGAGGTAGATAAGACCAGAACCAGATATACAAGAGTTAGTTGTATTTCTTGAAGGTGATAATGTGAGAGTCACATCAATTGTTGATGATGAAATAGAAGACTTTGACTGTGAGGATGAAATCACATATTATTTGTGGGACGCTGGGTTAGGATCTGGCAGTGGAACAATGGGAAGGATGACAGTGAGGAGTTGACACTTTCTTCTGCTGGTTTTGTTCACAGATGAAATCATCATGGCAGCCCCCCTGAGGATAGCAGATATAACCTCTGGGCTGATTGGGGGAGAAGATGGCCGTGTTTATGTATATAATGGCAAACACACCACCTTTGGCGACATGACAGGCAAATGTAAAACATGGATGTCTCCATGTCCAGAAGAAAAGGTAGCATTCATACAAGACTGGGGAAAGATGGTTACCTGCTAATATCTTATTAAATCACATTCACTACAGAACTACAGTTTCTACAACTCGGAGTCCCGAGGTCACAACACAGTCCCCTGGCTGTTTTATGGGGCCAAGCTGCCTGAATTCTTGGAGTTCTGCAGCATATGCTCCTATAGCTAAAGTCCAGTTGAACCTGGTGTCGCATTAGTCCTTGGTCACACCTGCCACTGGCTTGGCAAGGGGCCCACAGCAGGAAAAAACAGGCCTTGGCTATTTCATGAACTCCCACTATTTCCTGTTTCACGACTGTTTCCTGGGCCTGAAACACTTGGCCATTATTATTTTCAAATTTAAATTATTTAACCTGTAAAATTAGTTCATTGTAAAAATTTTAGAAAATCCGACAGTACAAAGAGAATTAAAAATCATCTACCTAGATTCCACTCTGCAGAGATAATGCCTGTTAACCTTTTGCTGTGTAGCATCCTTCTAGAATTTTTTTCTAAGAACGTAATAGTTTTGATATGGATTAGATATATTTTATTAAAAGTTGGTATTACGCCCATTTACAGATAAAGAAATTAAAGATCAGAAAGGAAGTTGTTCGAGGTCACATTGCTAGGAAATGGCAAAGCAGGGACTTGAACCAAGAGCTGATGCTAAAACACACTCTTAACCATTATACTATGTGTCTATATTTTTAAGAACTATGATCATGTTGTACATAATTGTTATTTTGCAACTTGATTTTACCTACCAAAATAACATGTAAATGTTTTTCTATATATTTACTGGCTGCCTAGTATATTATCTATAGATGAAACAGTTTATTTAACCATAAATTACTACTCATCACTTAGTTCACTTCTAATTTTCACTGTTATTCACATATAAACGTTTTGATACATGTTCTTCTGGGCTCAGTTCCTATAAGTGGAATTTCTGGTATTAAAGAGTATACACATTTTTAAGGATTCTTAAAAAATGTAGAAATGTGTGAGGGTGTAATTAAAATTGGTTAAAAAAAAAGTCTCCCTTTCTCACCATTTTCTCTTTCAGGCCCAATATGTATTGATTTCTCCTGAAGTAAGTACCTCCCGAAGGAATGAAGGAAAACTACAAAAATGTCCTTTCCTCTTATTTTAAACATAAAATATTTTGCTAAGTCTTCAAGAGGCCATTGACAGACAGAATCTGTTTTGCAGGCAAGCTCAAGGTTTGGAAGCTCTATGATCACCGTGAGGTCAAAGGACAAGGTGAGTGCCAAGGCTGTGCTGATGTTTGTTCTAAGGCTGGGATTTGAGGACGATCTCATTTTGTTCATATTTCAGGTTTTATATGAATAATAGAGGAACACAAAAAATTACAAATTCACACATACTCCTAGCACCTTTTTGGAGAAAAGCTCCACGCCTTACTCTTCCAACCTCCCCCTCTGCAGCGAGGCTGTCAGATCATGGCTGTGGGCTAACTCTAGTTGGCCGTCTGTTTTCGTACAGCCCACGAACTAAAAGTGATTACTGCATGTTTAAATGGTCGGGAAAACACAGGACTATTCCGTGACACGTGAACCTTCTGTGAGGTTGGAACATTAGCATTCATGAAGCTTTGGGACACAGCCGCGTGCGTTCACGCCTCCACGGCTGCGACCACACTACGGTAGCTGAGTGGTCACTCTAGAAACTGCTGTCCATAGAGCCCCAGATATGTTGTCTCGGCCGTTCTCAGAGTCTGCTGACCCTTGCCACATCAGATAACCATTGCTAACATTTCAGTGTTTTCTTCCAGAGTTTTTTTATGACTTTAGGGACGGATAAACGTAAACCCACATACACATTTCCTGTCACTGTTTCACTTTCATGCACTCCATGCTGCCTCTTCCCAGAGAGGTACATATAAAGCAAACCGATTCTTTTTAATGCTGCATAGTATTTGACTGTCTGGATACTATATTTTATTTCCTTGGTTCACGTTCTCACAAACATTTCTAATTTTTCACTATTACACACAATGCTATAGTGAGCATTCTTGCATCTTTATCTGTATAATTGTGTAAATATTCCTCTAGGTGAAATTCTTAGAAGATTGCTGGATCAAAGGGTGTACAGTTTTGAATTTTAATAGATATACAAAATTGAAGGGTTTTATCTTCGAATACACCACTGATTCCACTCATTTATTTGGATATATTGTATAGAACTGTGGGCTGGGAGAGATATAAAGACAAAGTCTCTGATTTTGAGAAAAAAATGTCAGTATAGGATTAAGTGCTAATGAGCAGTGTGAACAGTAAGTGTTAACTGTGGGGTGAAGGGCTTGGGAAGCCCTCAGATCTTAGAGCAGTGGTCCCCAACCTTTCTGGCACCAGGGACTGGTGCTCTGATGAAAATCTAATGCCTGATCTGAGGTGGTGATGCTAGCACTGGGGAGCAGCTGCAAATACAGATGAAGCTTCACTAACTTGCCTGTCACTCACCTCTTGCTGTGTGGCCCCCCATTCCAAACAGGCCTCAGACCAGACCTGGCCCAGGGGTTGGGGACCCATGTCTTAGAGCACAAAACCAGGTCTGTAAGCTGGAGAAAGTGCTGAAATTGACTCCTAGTGGCTCGCTCTTAAACCCATTTACAAACCCGATAACAAAAATATAGGTTAAAAAGAGATGATTTATGAGAGGATTCTAAAAAGGTCTGGTCATAGGAATACTTTATACCATAAGCTTGGCTTGCATTCTTTTATTCTTTCCAAGAATTAGACACTATCAAGAACCTATTCTATAAAAATTAAACAAATATCAACCCATTTACACCAGCTGAAGCGAGTAGTATTTAAAAGTAATTTATATTTGATTCCTTTCTGTACAATACTTCAAATTCACTTTCCTAATGATAGTTCACTTGGGTCAACAGTAAAATTCCTTTACTATCCTAACACATACCTGAGATTGGGGACACAAGCACTCAAGCATAAAGATAAATCAGAGGTTATCTATATTTAAACAACAGTCACAGACAACATGATGATCACAGTATCCTTTTGCTGAGACTGAATAAAATTTATGATTTATAAATTCCTTTTCCTTTCTATTATATGAGCATTAAGTAATCAATAGTAAACTTGAATTAGGAGGGCTTGCACTCAAGCAGTTCTTCCACTGTCCATATTTCTGATACCTCCTGTGGGGCTGCCATGACAGGGTGGGAAGTAATTAGTGTGTTATGAGCAGTGTCACGCTGGCACCAGAGAAGCAGACAAACCAACCTGAGACTCGGCCCCTGCCCCCAGGCACTTATAGATTTGGTGGAAATGTTCAAGCCATTGGGTCTGGCCAGTAGCTTATTCATTTTTCTAGCTCCAGGGTGCCTGGACTAGAGCAGGAACTCAATAGATGTGATGATAAATTAAAGAATTGTATTTTGTCCTCTACAGAACCAAGTTGTCATTGCTGCTGGAAGGAGTTCTTTGGGAGCCCGACTCTCTGGAGCACTTCACATCTACAGCCTTGGCTTAGATTAGTTTTTGCTCCATTTTTCTAATCTGCCCCTCCCTCTCGTGCTGAGTCATCTCTAGGGTGAGCATTTTGATGGACAAAGTGGCACAGCCAGTGGAGACACACACTAACAGTCAAATTATCTGGAAATACAGAAAATTATGACTATATCAGAAGTACATGAAATCGCAGGCCCTTTGGTTATTCATGTCCCCTTCCAAGGTTTATTTCCTTGTCTCCTTTGCATCTAAGCCTTTTTTCCTATTTCTTCTTCCACAGGAATACTTGTCTTTCTGATGCCTAGAAAGACCTCTCTGTGGTCATCTCTTAGGAAATCTTTGTATACTATTCCTCCTAAAAATGTTCTTTTAAAATTGGTGACTCATTAGGTTCACCAATCAGAATAAAATAGAAAGCACAGTATACAGGAAAAATTGGAGGAAAAGTACAGTGAGGAATAACCTCACAACTCCAAAGTCACTTATAAATGATTTGGTCCTTATTGCATTTTCATATAGTGAAAGGCAAAATGATTATTATATTTTCATATAGTATAAGGCAAATATAAAAACTAAAACTTATCTTTTGTAGAGAAGGCTGCTCTAACAGGTAATGAACCTAGTGACTCTCCACCAGTTTTAAGACACCCCAAGAGGGTCTTCATGGCATTAGGATGCCATGAGTGCTGACAGCACTAGAGCAGAAAGGAGTGAGCTGACGTGAGCCGAGGGACACCTTCTGTAAGGATTAAGTAAATGTGAGGGACCGAGGGGAGTGAAGCAGCCTGGGCTTCCTGTGCTGCTCCTGGTGGAGTGGGTCTCACCTGCCAGCCCTGCAGTGCGGCACATTTAAGGGAAAAGCGTGCACCACGGGGTTTCAGCTTCACTAAAATTTGCAGGCATTATTATCTGTAAACTCTAACTAGTTGATTCTGTATGAATCGAGGAAGAACCTCTTTTTTTCTGACACTAGTGAAATGTGTAAAAGCAGGAGAAAATAAATGACATGAGCCCTTCTCTTCTCAGCTTGTCTAGGGGCAGAATAGAGACCAGTCAAGGGGGACAGGAATCAGCTGAAGAATAAAGTTAAATGAGATCAAGGAAAAGCTAGAGTTAAAACTGTGAGCGCAAGGTATCTGTAGGAAAAAAAATGTAAACAGGCACGTACCTAGACAGCACCTCTGGACCACTCCTGGAACTGTCTCATCTTTCTTAGGGAGGTATGCTAGCTGCATGGTTCCCTATGGCACAGCAAAAAGCACACAAACACCATTTGTTTCGTTTGGGCAACAATTACTGGCAGCTCAATCTATTTGAAGAATTATTTTTAATTAAAAAGTTTACTTTTATGGGACCAGAAATTACTCATTTGACTGTAGAACAAACTGATGACACTGCATTTCAGTAAAGGTCTATTTCTCTCAGTACTAGACCTTTATCAGAAGGATGCATACTTTCATACTGCCATTACTATATAAAGTGGCTATGTTATACTTTGCTAAATAACAGGGCCTATGTTTAAACATGATCACTATTTACCTGAGGATTAATTTTTCTCAATGACTGAACACAGCAAGTACCAGGTAGGGAAGGTTAAAATTTACAAAGCTGGAAGCAAGTTTTTCATATAGGGCTTTGTATAGGATATATTTAACCATACTAACCCCTAAAGCGCTATATAAAAGTGATGTAAATTGTACTCCTACTGTTAACCTATATGACAAATATGTAAAAACCTGGCATACAGAAAAAAACACTATATATAATGTATTTGTCCAATAGATGAAATTTTCACTCCACTAAGTATCAACTATAGTTCCAAGCACTGATTCAAAATGTTTAATAACAAAAACAGAAATTCCTTGTTGGGTTTTAATCTCTTATTAACACAAATCTGAATTTATGCAATTTAACTTAAAATTACCTTTATTTCAAGATACCAGAACACATTTACGTATATTTGCAATTTCTGTCTTTCCACTGTCTATGTAACAATTTTCTTCAAAGCTAAAAAAGATCAGGATTCTTTGATGCCTTTGTGTGACAGACCTACCAGGCTAAATATGATTTGAAATGAGTTTGAGAATAAACTCAGGTCTGAGTTCCCTATTTCATGCACCACCCATTAGACCAACCGAAAGATATTTACTAAAGTAAATCCTAAATTTAAAGTGAGTTTAATATTGCAATTCCAAAAAACAAAGCTGTGTACAACTCGGAGTAACTCACTAAAATAAACAGCTTTTTAGTGATACTGTTTAGGGGTTATCATAGTCTGCTTACCAAGAATAAAGTGCTCCTAGTATCTTAAAATGAAATTTGTTCTGCCACATATTCTTAGAGGCCTTCCAAAGACAAATATAGTCAGTTAAGAGTCCTTGCACTTGTATATGTGAAATGGGATGACTGCTTGCTTAGTTTATGTGCTCAGTCTATTACTTTAAAATTTAAAACCACTGAACTTTGTGTTTTTTTGGCATAGGCTGTTTTATTAAGAGAACCTTAATATAAGAAGTATTCTGCTATCACCAAAACAGAGCTAGTTGACATTTTGAAATAATACCTGATCTAACCACCTTTGAGAATTTTATAAACCATTAGTAAGTTCCCTTCATCAGACTTGTGAGGTAGGTATTTTCCCTTTCATCTATGAGACATGACTCATCAAAAAAATTTTTTTTTTACCAAAGTCCACAAACCAACACCAGAAGGAAAAAAGACCAAAACTCTATCTATGCCCGATATTAGTCAAATCAAGTTCTGCAATCTAGGTTTCCAATTCTTTACGTCACAGTTAAGTAAAATTACTTATAATACAGTGATAAGACCAAAAATAGCAACAGTGCTTTGAGGTGTGCCAAAGAAGAGTATTACTGAACAGATCTGTACAGCCAGAGAGTGCTGCAGAGTCACATTCTAACAACCACACCTAAAGCATGCTCCTGACCCATGGCAAGTTGCCACGTGGGCCACGCACTGCTCCAAGCCCAGCCCAGCCTGTGCTGTCCCAGCTTCCTTCTAATGGCTTCTCATAACCGTACATGGAAGTGGAGAAAACTTTATTTGTAACTTCATCTGTTTTCTTTCAAATTAGCTAGTGGAATAGCAAGCATTATTATTTCTATTATCAAACCACTTGGTAAATGGACCTCTAATTTCCTTATGTGACATCTTATTATCAGGTGCTCCCCACATCATCAGGGTATGCATATTTAGGCTTTTCTTATGAGTATATTTGTAGTGCAAGGGCTTCTCTGGGCACTCTGAAATCTTCCACACATGCTTTTATGAGCAAGTATTAACTACAGTGTTCTGTTGCATAACTGCCTTTAACCTCCAGAAAATATAAAAAAGGTAGTTCAGAGGTTAAAGAAGATAGCAGCTTTAAGACTCAGATGTTAGCCATTTGTTGTGAAAACAAAAAGTGACCAAAGATCTAGAGTCTATTACCCTCCTTAGGAAGCTGACCTGCCAGCCTCTGAGGAGCAGGAGTACAGAGTAACTGTGCTACACACATTTTCCTTTTTCGGGGTTGGTTGGGGTGACACACCCATCTAATCTAAAAAATCAGCTATAAAACAATAACAGAATAGAAATACTTTGTAATCAACTCTACTTCCAAAGGCTTTAATTATAGCTAAGCAAAAAAGTTTCAGGGTTGAGAAAGTGAAAATTTAATTGGAATCTACATAAAGCTGATGTTAAATTATCATTGCCTTCTTTTTATTCACATTCCATAAAAAGGGGGCAACATATAACAAGGCTACGCCAGAGACTGATTTAAAGCAAACTTTCAGAGTTTGTTTTAAGGCTAACATGTATTCTGCTAGCTTTTCAGTCACCTGAGGGTAAGGAAATTTGCAAGAACATGATTCCCCATGCTATGAACTATGGCTACCTGATCTCTTAACTGGGTTTTTCAAGCTTCCAGGCTTCATTTGGCATTAAATGGCACTTTTCTTGATATGTATAAAATAAAACCTATATAACAATCTATTCTTGTGTTAAATTAATCTCTCCATGCCTCATGTCATGTCTATAAAAACAGCTCTTTATATTAGTAAGAAATAGAATTTTGACCTTTTACAAAGCAAGCACTTTGGTTCTCAGAATTCTGAAAATGCAACAAAGTTCTAGTATTGTTACAGCTGTATTTTTATCATCAGACAATTTAAATATCAATGATTTTTTCAAGTCTCTGATTCTATAAAATAATAAAAGTATCAGAAGTTTTCTATGAATACCATAAAAAATTCAGTTTTCAGCGAGTTGTTACTAATGGTTAAGACACTCCTGCTTGATCAAAGTCCATCTGGCCTGAAGCTGTGTTTCATTTCTATACTTCTATTTGCTTGAAGGTTCTTTTTAGGTAAAGAGGCCATCTGAATAAAGCAGGAAAATAAAATAATTTTAGTTTGCGTCTTAAAAAAAAAGCCACTAGTAAAATGATATAGGTAACTACTAAATGAAAGAATGACTACAAGCCACATGTATCTTAAGTAATTATTCCAGTGGTGTAAACTATAAGTAGATAAAGGAGATAAACTTTATACCTTTTCTTAATGACTATAAATGTTTTCTACATTTCAATTTTGGTTATGACAAAACCTACACCAAAATTACTAACATCTGTCTAGATATATAATGCTTATCACAGTCGCAAGCATATTTGCCACAAAATAAATATTTCTAATTGCCAAGCACTGTGATAGTAAGTGCTTTACACATAATTAACTATCAACACTATGAAGCAGGTGGCACTGACTTAACTGACAGATGGGGAAATTTAGGGAGGCTTAGAGAAAATGAACTTGCTCAGGGTCACCAAGCCTGTGAGGACTTAAGCCAAGGATGTATGACTTTAGAGCCCATGGTTGTGACCACTCTATTGTATTGCTGTGACCCAAACCCTTCATACCATGGGTGGCAAAGGAGCTTCTAGCTGTCGTCCAAGGAAAGACAGCAAACGCCTCCAGATTAGGCCACTTCCCATAAACATAATTCCCGTAATCAGCCAAAACACTCTATGGTCCTAAAAGAGAACACAATTAATTTCAATTAGAAAAGGCTAGGTTCTTAGCAATAAGATTTCCTGAACTATTATTGCCCCAGAATTTTAAAAAAGCCTTTTATTATTCCTACAACTCTTTCCTATAGAGAAGAAATAAGAACAAGTGCCTTGATAGCACACAGAGACCAAGAATCAGAGACTAAATCAGAAGGGAAACATGATTTAAAAAGGTTTATTTTCTAATAATCTATAAGCCAAACATAATTGCTTTTACTATGCATTTCTGTCCAGTATTTGTTTATATGCATGCAAATTTTAGTAGTTATCAGTTATCACATAGGACATACAACTTAATTTTTTTGCTTATAGCCAGAGTTACCAAACTGTGAGCTGAGGTGCCTTCGGCATAACACTCCAGAGTATTTTAAATTTCCAAGGGACACACAGTGACATTTGTGGAATGCCATGAGAACTGCTGCTCTTAAATTGTTCTATTTAACTATTGCATAAAACAAACTTAACAAACTATAAAAGAAACTGGTCCAGGGATGCTGTGAAAAAATTACTAAGACACTAAAAGCATTGAGAATCAATAAAGTTTGTGAACCTGACTTACTGTATGTTTTCTCTGTCATTTTCAAAATTATATTTCTGCAGTATAATGTTTTGAGTGCATGTGTTAATGTACCGAATCACAGAATTTATATTTTATCTACAACAGGAAAGGAATCCCACCTATAGCTATGCCATTAGTTGGTTATCAGTGATAAATTGGTTAATTCCAGTGATGAAGGGCTCATTTCCTCCAAGGTAGTCTGTGACAAAAATGATCAGTTATCACTGATGAAAATTCATGTCACATATTAAGCAGAAATCTGCCTTTTAACATGAAGTTAGTTGTCAGATACATGATATCAGGAAGACAAGTGCTAACATGAGTTAACTGTTTTTTGGATGAACACACTTTCAGTTATCCAGAAAAAGGTCTCTCATTTAGTAGGTGAAAACTCTGTTTTAATGAGATTTAGCATATACGGATTACCACCCTTCTCTGACGTAAACTGGTTCTGTAATCCCCTGTAAATCAAAAGTCTGGGAATGCCAAATTGTGATAACCTTGAGAGATAGGCAAGTTCAAACCAAGCTCAAAATTCCATGTGCCATTAAAACACACAGCACAGTGTGGGTGTGAGACCTGTAGGAAATTAAAGAAGGGAACAAGTTTCTGAGAGTTGGAGACTTTAATGCTCCCTCTATTTGGGGTGTGCCCTGAAGTACTAAGTGTTCAAACTCTGATGCTCTTCGTCTCCTCCAATGTTTAGTCTATTTACTCACTTAGAAATAAGATTCCTAGATTATCTCGATGTGCCAGTAGCTAAAAAAAGCACTGAAAACTGATGGAAACAATGTCAGAGGGGACCAAAATGCCATCATCGTAGTAGGGACTGGAACATCTACAAATATTGAAGGAAATACACAGTACTCAGAACCCAGCATAAAAGGGTCAAATAATAGTATGACAAATTATATAACTCATTGACTAAAGTAAGAATCCCATGAATCCATACTGATGTAAATAAATAACTAGTGGAGAAGGAAATGCTCTACTTTACAACTAACAAATGCAGGAAGAGTTGATGGAATTTAAAAAATCACCATTTAGTAATCATCATAGTTAATACTTGATTCAGGCATGAACTGATTTTAGATCAATTAGTGGATGCTAAACGCAGAGGGTGAAAATTTGATGAATAACAGAATTTTTACATAGTCTCAAAGTATGTCCCTACAAGATACTTAATTCCATAGAATGAAAAAAGAGTAACTACAGGAGAGAACGTTGGCAGATACCACCTTAATCTAATAATCGAAATTAATGTCACCAGTAAGGGGACACATTGCTATCATGTGTCTTCTGATGGGATTCAATGTAAAGAACACATGGACACATGCCTAACCAGAACACAATAATGAAGAAAGAGGGTCGGGGTCAAATAACTGACCTGCAGTGTTTGTGAATATCAAGGCCATGAAAGAAAGACTGAAACACTGGTCTAGACTAAAGGAGACTGAAGAGACATGACAACTATATGTAACATGTGAGCTAAGATTTTTCTATAAGATAAAGAACATTCCTTAGATAAGGCACAATGTGAACAGGGTCTATAGACTGGAAAAGTGTTTCAATGTTAATTTCCTCATTTTGACAACTGTACTGTGGATATGTAAGAGAATGTACAAGTTTTTAGGAAATAATATACTGAAGTATTTAGAGGTAAAAAGGCGTCACATTTGTTGCTTATTCTCAAATTGTTTAGAAAAAAAGTACGTACAGATACAGATAGAATGATAGAGAGCAAATGTGAAAAATGCTGGTGTTTGAAAAATCTGGATGAAGGCTACATGGGACTTCTTTGACTACTCTTAGAGTAGTTTGAAATTATGTTAAAAAGTATATAAAAAAGTTTTTCCTATCCTAGATTCACCATTGCAAATCTTAACTAACTATACAGGAACAGACACTTAAGTATCCATGGATTTAATGAACAAGTTTCAACTATTCTTCCACAAACCCAGAGATGTGTAATTTATAACTCAGATGAGGCACTGATCTGAACCTTGTTCGGAGCCAATTACCCAGTTAGCACTGAGCAAGCCTAGCTCACTACCTACCACTCATATCTCATCAAAACTGAGTTGCTCTTTATTTAGGATTACATATGCTGGAACTAGGAAGACATTTCTAAAAATTATTTCTTCTTTGGAAAATAGGCATTAAATGAGAGAAAATATTAGAGAAAGTATAAAATAGTGTTAGCCTGTAGAGTATATTTACATAAACATGATTCTTAATCAAAATGATTTGAGAGAAAGACAGGAACTTGTACGGAGTTCTGTAGTCAAATTGGGGAATTAGCAAAGGTCTCTAGAAGTACCTTCTGAGAACATCAAGGGTCAGACTATGTTGCACAAGATATTTTGCTTACTTCTGAACTTTCTAATAGTCTAGATTTGGGCTCAAAAGCCTCCAAAAGATTCCTATCACAATTAAGTAAGTCCAAACCCTTACCATGCTCTACAAAATCAACACAATCCCCCACTTGTCTGTCCTCTGACTTCACTCCCTACTTCGAACCACCTTTTAACCACTCTGCCTTCTTGCTGGTTCTTGAACAAACTCAGCTCTGTCTGTCTTTACATATGTGGTTCCCTCTGCCTAGAACACTCCCCAGATCTCCCCACTTTCTCCTTTCATTCGGGTCTCTGCTCTAGTGTCACCTCCTCAGAAAGACCTTCCTTGACTACCCTACCTCTAAAATGCCCCTCATCTCACCACCACCTCCTAACATTTTCTATCCCTTTATCTGGCTTTACTTTTCTTTATGGCACTTACCACCTAACATACTGTGTATGTTTATTCTCTCCTCCTCCACTATAATGTAACCTCCACAAGGCACTAAATAGGCACTAAAAAGCATGTTTGTTATGATGAATGAACAAACATATTACGTTTTTCTTCTACATCTTATTATAAGGAACATTAAAAATGACTAATACATACTGCCTCACAGGGCTTATGATCTTTTGAAGACTTTAAACAGTAAATGCAAATTTGAGGAACATGGCAAATGGAAAATGTGGTATTATTTGGGGAGATATAACAAGGGGAGTAATTTTATTTGGCTGGATCGGGTGCTCAGTCAATGAAGATCCTCCTTGGGTGTGACATGTAAGTTGAGATCTGAGAGACAAGAGGTTAGCTAGGGCAAAAAGGTGGGAGCTAAGGAGAGATGTGTAGAGGCAGCATGAAGGAGAAGAAAAACTGCAGATGAAACTGACCGTGAGAGCAACGTAGCTGGAGACAGGATGGAGGTATGGGTACAGCAGACTGGGAAAATCCTTACAAGTAAAAGCCTTACGGGTCAAGTAGATTCGATTTTTATCTTGAAGGCAATTAAAAGCTACTGAATAGTTTTAGACAGAAGAGTGAGCACCAGATTTGCTTCTTTTAAAAACCACTTTTTAAAAGCAATCAGTGGTTCTGATGAGATGATATCGGTTGGACGAGAGGGACAGCACAGACACAATAGAACAGACCTGTTAGGTTAATCAGGACACAGAATCCAGAGCCAGAGTATGCCAAATGCAGATTCAGATTCATTTCTAGATACTTGACAGTAAGATATGTTCTGAAAATACAAGGCAACAATGACATGAACAGCTCTGTGAGTTCAGTGTCATGTTAGCATGGAAAGGCAGCAGAGAAGAGTGGAAAATGCAAATCTTTGGGTTCAAATCCTAACTCCATTATTTTCTAGCTCTGTAGCCTTGGGCATGTTACTTAAGTTTTCTGAGCCTCACTTTTCTCACCTATAAAGGGGGAAAATATATCCATTCTCAGAGTTGTGATGACTGAGCCAAATAAAGCATGCAAACTAGGAACATTGCCAGACGGACACATAAGAATTAAAAGAAATAAAAATCCTTCACTGACACTGTCTCACAGGGTAACACTGTTTTATCAAACCCTTCCAATGTGTAGTTAACATCTTTTGGGAAACATAAGGTAACCTAGGCTATACTTATATATTATAACAGAGTCTAGCAATATTGCCTGAATTTTAAATGAATTAGAGTACATATTTTATTTCATTAGGGGAGTACACATATGAAGACTTTCTTTGTAAAATCCATTTACAAAACGGATCTTTAAAACATTAAAAAAATAATCTCTAGATTACTAAATACATTCTAACCTCTTCAAGGGAAGATTCCAAATTCATTCCAAAAGCAACTCCCATTAGTCCAAAGAGTGAAATAGAGAATGTTCCCATGGTCAACTGCAGGTTCAATCTCATCATCACATTGCGGTGGCTAGAAAGAACACCTAGTTAGATCAGAAGAGCCAACTATACACAGCAAATCCACCAAATAATCTATTAAAACAACACAGAATAAATGTATACCTTAAAAAGAAAAAAAGACGCACTTCCATGAAGTAGCCATAGATGATAACAATGGTACAATTCCTTCCAAAATGACAACTCCTTAAAAGCTTTATTACTTTACAATAATTATTTTATAAAGAAAACACTTACTGATTGTTTTATACGATGCTTTCTTACCTGTCCAGATTGATGAATATAATACTCTGTGAATCGTCAATCAGCACCCTAAGTTCCCGAGCTGCGTTGGAAAGATCTTCGGCTAATCGGTAGTAGTTTTCTAGTAGCAACTCCATCTCTTCTGCATGGTCAATTCCAGTGCTGCTCTTTTCACTTCAATTACATGAGTTAACATAATTAACATGCCCCTGATATATGCACCATACATTTAGGACTGAAAAACTTCCTGAATTAGTACATAATATGCAGCTACCAATGAAAACACTAGCTTTCGTCTTCTCTATTATTATAATTGAGGCCAATCTGTAAGTGGCTTTATCACTTGATCCTAAACAGGTAACTCTAGGGCACAGGTTCCATCCTTATACAGGCTAGGTAGCTTCATTGTGTTTCATAGCCCCAATTCAAAATGCTTTCATGAAACATACACTATCAGTTACAAGAAAATCCAGATGTGTGAATGCTGATGTATTAGTGAAAATAAGAACAAATCAGGCAAAACCAAAAGAACAATAAGAACAAATCAGGCAAAAACAAAACCAAAAACTAAAATTGAACATAAAGGACATGTCCTTTCCACAATCTATAGCTTCAATGCACTCTGTATCAAAATACCAATAGCACTTTTAACAGAACTAGAACAAATAATCCTAAAATTTATATGGAACCACAAAAGACCCTGAATAGCCACAGCAATCTTGAGAAAGAACAACAAAGTGGAAGGTATCACGCTACATGATAGCAAACTACACTACAAGGCTTTAGTAATCAGAGCAGCATGGTTCTGGCGTAAAAACAGACACACAGATCAATGGAACAGAAAAGAAAACCCAGAAATAAACCCATGCCTATATGGTCAATTAACCTATGACAAAGAAGGCAAGAATAAACAATGGGGAAAAAACAGTCTACTGAATAAATGGTATTGGGAAAATAAGAGATATGTGCAAAAGATGAAACTAGACCACTTTCTTACACCATATACCAAAATAAACTCCAAATGGATTAAAGACTTAAACGTAAGACCTGAAACCATGAAACTCCTAGAAGAAAATATAGAAACTCTCTGACATCCTTCTTAGTAGCAAGGGAAAAGAAAAAATAAACAAATGGGACTACATCAAACTAAAAAGTTTTTGCACAGTAAAGTAAACCACCAACAAAAGGAAAAGACAACCTACTGCATGGGAGAAGATATCTGCCAATGATACAGCTGTTAAGGGGTTAATATACAAAATTCAAAAAGAACCTGTACAACTTAACACCAAAAAAAACACAAAGAATCCAATTAAAAAACCGAAAGACAATCTGAATAGGCATTTCTCCAGAGGACATACAGATGGCGAATAGACACATGAAAAGATGTTCAACATTACTAATCATCAGAGAAATGGAAATTAAAACTATGAGATATCACCTCACACCTGTCAGAATACCTGTTATCAATAAGAGTATTTGCAAGGATGTGAAGAAAAGGGAACTCTTGTGTACTGTTGGTGGGACTGCAAATTGGTACAGTCACTATGGAAAACAGCATGGCGGTCCCTCACAATATTAAAAATAGAACTATATGATACAGCAATTCTACTTTTGGATATCTAAAGAAATAAAAAAACAGTTCAAAAAGATATGTGCATTCCTATGTTCACTGCAGGGTTATTTACAAAAGCCAAGATATGAAAACCTAAATGCCCATCAACAGAAGACTAGATAAAGATGACGTTGTACATATATACAATTGACTACTACTTGGCCATAAAAAATAATGAAATCTTACCATTCACAACAACATGGATGGATCTAGAGGGTATTATGCAAAGTGAAATAAGTCAGACAGAAGAAAACAAACATCATATGATTTCACTTACATGTGGAATCTAAAGAAAATAAACAAGATGGAAACAGGCTCATAGATACAGAGAACTGATGGTTGTCAGATGGGAGGGGGTTTGGGGAGCTAGGTGAAAAAGATGAAGGGATTAAGAAATACAAAGTGATAGTTACAAAATAGGGGGATACAAAGTATAGCACAGGGAAAATAGTCAATAATATTGTAATAACTATGCGTAGTGTCAGGTGGGTACTAGACTAATCAGGAGGATCATTTCATAAATTATATAAATGTCTAAGCACCATGCTGTACATCTGAAATTAATATAATACTCAATGTCAACTGTAATGGAAAAAAGAGCATTTCCTTCCCAAGGTAAATACATGTCATTTTATATATGAAGAAAATGTTTATGAATGATGACAATACATAGTTATTTTGCCCCCCTTACCTATACTCCCATCCTACCAAAAAGAATAAATGGAAACAGAGTACTTGGTAAGATACTTATATTGTAAAGCCTATTCGAGATAGACTGGCTTAATAAGCAAAGCAAACAAGAATAACAAGTGTATTCATGTTTCTGCTTCTGCATATTTTTGCTGTAATAGCTCTTTTTATCTTAATGTTTTCTTTGTTAGAATACACATAACTAACTTCTCGAAATACTTAAAAAATCTGTACAGACTGTGGAAACTATATACATTACAAAACTGTCTGTATTAACTTCTGATAGTGGTCCACAAAGAACAAAATGAAATATTTTGAGTACTTAAAAAAGTTAAGTACGTACAAGAAGAATAAATGATTTCTAAATTCATAAGACATAAAGGTTTATACGATGAAAATTTTTGTATTAGACCAAACTTACAGGATATATGCCAATGTATTACTCAAAAAAAACCTGTGTTAATCTCTCTCCCTCTCTTCCACTGTATCTTCTAGGTAAGTTATTTGGGTAGCTGTGTGGACCATTTTGGTGGTCAGTCCCTTGAAAATAAAGGTGATGGAGTGTTTATATTCATCACACACCAGCACATGCTGTATACACAGTATGCACTCAATATATCCTGTTACACTGAATTAGATGCAATACAGCACAGGAAATAGTACAACAATTGGGGATAAAAAGTGCCTATATTATCTAGCCCAGAAAAATGTTATGTTCTCTATGAAAAATAATCCTGATAAGACAGAAGACTGATTCTAAGACAATAACAAAGCAGGACCGTACTTACAAGACCTGTGGGTCACTCCATTTGGTTAGACAGAGCTCCTCCAACAACTCTTCTTCATCCAAGATCTCCAAAATTGACTCTTTGAAAATTTTAATATCTGTCTCTAACTCTGAAAGACTGTAAGAATATTGTTCAGAAATGACCTATAGACTTATAACAACATGTCACTGTAAGAATAGTGACTTCTTAGGGTATCTTATTAAGTAGATCCACACATACATTCATGATAAACACTCACTTGTAAAAAAATATTTTGATATTTACCATGCAGATTAGGAATCAACTCCCAAACCAAAGCTACATAATAGAGCTATAGCACTTCGTGCAAAATATCTTTGAGGAGATATTACTCTGTGTGCCCCTTCTGGCTCAATTTCCACCAAGGCTACTTTCGTACTCTGAAGGGACTGAGAGTAGTTGTTACCATTTGCAAAATTAGCTGGCATTTTAAAAATAGGTAATAATCACACTACTTTTATATCTGAATTTATGCTAAACATTTTGCTGTTAAAACTACTAAAAGAGAAGTTAAAAATATTTGTGTCTCAATTACCAACATTTACCTTTTGCTGTTTTGTAGTAAGATATGCAGTTTGCTTCTGTCTACAGAAGAGTGTTTGGGATCCACTAAAGCTTCCAACGTGTCAAGAATCAGTGGCTGCAAAATGCTCAGTTTCCCCTGAAGAGTGCTGATCTAGATAACAATATGACCTTTCATAAGAATTAAAACAACCTTTTTAGAATACTCAGGGTCAGGGAATCTTCTGATTAAATACAGAAATGTAGAATAGTTAGGACAGCTGGCAACATTTCAAAACACAGTCATTGCTAAAATGCCTATTTCAGATGATTCAAAAACTTGTTCTCTTCGGTTAAAAGATAACCATACATAATGTTATTACCAGGTTCACATTAGATTGATAGGGAATTAACACTTACAAGAGTCTTCCCTTACAAACACTTGTTATGAAAGAATGGAAGATTGATTAATTAAAATAAAATCTGCCATTCTGTGGTTAAAACACAAACTTCACATTTGGTAAACAATACCTATACTCTATATAAACAGAATAGAATTCGAAATTTCTGTGAACAAAACTTTGAAAACTGAAACATAACTTGAATTTTAAAAATACAACAAAACAGTGTAAAGTCAAAAGTATACTTCGTATTCAGGTTAATATAGGCACAACTGATATTCAACAGGTACGCACTGATATACCAGTTGTTAAAATACTGAAATATTTCCATACCAACTAGTAAACAGCACAACAGTAACTGAATTAAGCAGTAAAATTAATGATATAAATGCCAGTATATACTCTATCTCAGCATGAGCTCCTATGGGCTTCCTCAGCCTGTGCAGCCTGCCACTGACCATCATTTGCACCTTTTCTCTTCTCTTTCTTTCTCTCTCCCGTTTTTTTGCTTAGTAACTATGCTCCAACTGGTCACCATCTCATTGGCTGGTACTAGTTGGTGCTGTTGTGCAATTAACCTTAGCATGGAATACAGCCATCTCCTACTCCATCAGTAGAATGAAGCAGACAAAAGAGAAGGGTACCAGGTTCACCCAATCCCTGCCTTCCTCATGTCCCCATTACCCTCCTCCTCTTCCTACTCTGGTTAGGTGCTAAGAGCATTCCTAGCACCAACATTTACATTCCTGAATAGTACTATCCTAATAGTATTATTAGGAAAGAAAAGATAATGACAGATTTGTGGGGACCAGGAAAGCAGTGGCCATCCTTGTTCAGGGCCTGACAGGATCGCCATACATCCATTGATTTAATGTGAAAGTCATTAGAGGAAGTGTACGTGGTTCCAACGTCAAACTGGGTCTCAAACAAAGGCTTTCATTTAGCTGCCTCAAACAAAGCAAAGAATGATTTGGAAAGTATTAGAATGATTTGATGAATGATTTGCGCTATAATATTTATCACATGTAAGCACTTTTACAATATACATACAATTTAATTTAGAGAATAAAATACATTTAAAACTTTTTTGATATGTTCATTTCTATCATATTTAGGACAAGTACTTTGAACCATTGCCCCTGAATACAGGTATTAAAATTGTACAAAGGGTAGCCAAATTGAAATGTGCTTCAATGAATGTCATAATATGACTCTCAAAACCTAGATCTGATTGGGTCATAAAGTTAAAAATTAAGTACACTCTTCATACAGGACCTTTAGAGATGTTTTTGTCTGGAGTGAGAGTATGATTATAACAAGTGCCATGGAAACAATACCAATTTGTTTTCCTACTATATATAATTTTAAAACCAGAACTAATTCAAGAAACTAAATAAATACAGGCTTACCCAATACTGCAGGAGTGCTTCTATAGCTCTAAATTCAAAAGGTAAAGGGTATGTGACAAGTTGACCCTCTCCAGCCAGCTGTGAAGGCAGTTCCCGGAATAGCCATTGCTCTAGATTTAAATTACGATAATCCAATATCAGAAGACACTCTGGAGTTATCACAGCTTTCAAATACTGGGGAAAAAAAAGAACATATATGTAAATGTACACATACATATACATGCATATATGTATATGCAAGTTGTAGAGCTGTAGGAAAAATATAAGTCATAAAATAGGATTTAATACTCTTAATTTTGAATTAAGCCTAAATCAAATCACTATTCATTTGGTTTTTCAAAAAAAAAACCCGACATAGTATTTTTTTTCAAGAAAGGAAGCCTAATACATATGTAAGTCTTCATACCTCTAACTCACTCTCAACAGAACCAGAATTAAATTATGTATTATGACTACCATGCTAACTAACCGGGAGAAAAATAGGGATAATGGAAACAAGGTAAGGTCTTCTTAAAAATCATGTATTCAGTACACTTTAAGAAAAGACTTAGCTTAATTAGATTACTTTGGCTGAAATGGGAAAGTTTCCTTTTTAAAATAAAATATCACCTTTTAAAAATATCAATAGTAAGCTATTCTAAAATTAAGAAGATAAAACTTATTAGCTTTAGTGCTCTAATTTAGAGCACTATGGACTTTCAGTCAAGATGACAGAGAAACTCAACACTGTACACACTTCCTCCCATGATCATATCAAAATTACAACTATAGAACCACCACCCTTGAGAACCACCTGAAGACTATGTAAACAGAAATCTTATAACTAAGGATACACAGAAAAAGCCACATTGATACGGGTGGGGGTGGGGGCATTGAGAGGCAGAATGGGCTGGTCCCACATCCCATTGTGGCTGTTCAAAATCAGGAGGAAAATAACATCAGGGATATCTCAGCAGTGGAGGTCCCCACTGAGGGGCCAGAGGTCAACGCTCCAAATCAGGTAAATGTACACATACATATACATGCATATATGTATATGCAAGTTGTAGAGCTGTAGGAAAAATATAAGTCATAAAATAGGATTTAATACTCTTAATTTTGAATTAAGCCTAAATCAAATCACTATTCATTTGGTTTTTCAAAAAAAAAACCCGACATAGTATTTTTTTTCAAGAAAGGAAGCCTAATACATATGTAAGTCTTCATACCTCTAAGTCACTCTCAACAGAACCAGAATTAAATTATGTATTATGACTACCATGCTAACTAACCGTGAGAAAAATAGGGATAATGGAAACAAGGTAAGGTCTTCTTAAAAGTCATGTATTCAGTACACTTTAAGAAAAGACTTAGACTGAGACTCCATCAAACTAATTAACACCATTCACCCTGTAAACAGAAATCTTATAACTAAGGATACACAGAAAAAGCCACATTGATACGGGTGGGGGTGGGGGCATTGAGAGGCAGAATGGGCTGGTCCCACATCCCATTGTGGCTGTTCAAAATCAGGAGGAAAATAACATCAGGGATATCTCAGCAGTGGAGGTCCCCACTGAGGAGCAAGAGGTCACAGCTCCAAATCAGGCTCCCCAGCCCAGGTCACCGGTGATAGGAAGAGGAGTCCCTATAACATCTGGCTATGAAAACCAGCGGGGATAGCATCTGAGACGAAGGGCTGCTGGAGCCCCAGGCAGTTCACTTGAAGGGCCTGTGTACAAACTTACTCCCTCACAGACTCACTCTGGGTTCCAACACATGAGCAGGAGTTCCTAAAACACCAGGGTCATATGGGGAAGTACAGAACTGACGAGCTTCAAGGTGAAAGCTGGGAGAAGCAGTAGTCAGGACAGCTCTCTCTGGAAACAGAAGTGCTGGCAGTAGCCATTGTTCCTTTGTTGAGCTTTCTCCCTACCCAGCTTGCAGGCACAGGCAGCTGCCAAATCTGAGACTCCATCAAACTAATTAACACCATTCACCCTGTCATGGTGATTTCCTGAGACCTTACCCATCTTGTATGCCCAGCCTGCGCAGCTTCCAGTGGCTTTTACACACAAGCAGTCTACCTCAGCTTTCTCTGCGGATTTCTTAAAATCATTCAAAGGTCCATAAACTGCAAACAAGCAGTGCTGGCCTCGGTGTGCACCGTACTTCTTGCTCAGCAGCCCTAAGGGCACCACAAGCAGCGAGCAGGCTCAACTTGCATTATAACTCCCATCAGGTGGCTGTAAGCCTGGCATAAGCTGCAGCCCATGCTGACTTGGAACACAGTCAACTAAGCAGCCACAAACCCAGCACAAGAGGTAGCTGACCTCAGCTTACATTGTGGTGCTCACCAAAGGGTCCCAAGTCTAGCACTAGTGGCAGTTGGTCTCAGTTCATAGCATAGCCTCTTCCAAGTGCCTCCAAGCCCAGCACAAGTGGCAACCAACTTGTAGATGACTTTGCAGCTCTCACCAGGCAGCACTAAGCCAAGCCCAGGATCCAGAACCAATAAATCCAGTGGCAGGCTTCAGATGACACCAGATCACCACCCAACAACCTACACAAATGACACATCTGAAGGTCAGACTCAGCTGGCACCAGAGTCCCACTAAAGCAACCTCTATCCACTAGTCTCAGTCCCGGCACGACAGCTTGTCCACTGTAGTCACGGCCAGCCCTCACAGCCAGTCAGCCTGAGGGTCAATCCCACTCAATGACATGCCAACAGCAATCAAGGCTCATCTACAATGGTAAGGCACAAACAACTCACACAGGAGACACCCTGGAGCACCCGGCTCAGGTAAACAGGGAGACTGCAAATGGGGCCCCACCTTCTACATAAGGCTGCTCTGTCCAGATGGGAAACAGAGCAGATCTGCTTAATATATAAACATAAACACAGGGCATCAGTCAGCCAAAATGAGACAAACATGTCCCAAATGAAAGAAGGGACAAAACTCCAGAAAAAGAACTAAATGAAATGGAGACAAGCAATCTACCAGATAGAGTTCAAAATGCTGGTTATGAGGATGTTCAGTGAACACAGGGGAAGAACAGAGAAACTCAGTGAGAATTTACACAAAGAGAAACCGTAAAAAAAGAACCAGTCAGAAATGCAGACTACAATAATAAATAAAGAATACATTAGAGGGAGTCAACAGTAGATTAGATAAAGCAGAGGTAGCAGAAAATACTCAATTAAACAGCAAAAAGAAAAAAGGAATTAAAAAAATAAGAATCGTTTAAGGGACCTCTGGGACAATATCAAGTGCACAATATTCTCATCATAGAGGTACCAGAAAAAGAGAGAGAAGGGACTGAAAACCTATTTGAAGAAATGACAGAAAACTTCCCTGACCTGGCAAAGAAATCAGACCAGGAAGCACAGAGAGTCCCAACCAAGAGGAACCCAAAGAGGCTCACACCAAGACAGGTCATAAATGAAATGCCAAAAGTTGAAGACAAAGAGAACATCTTAAAAGCAGCAAGATAAAGGCAATTAGTTACATACAAGAGAGCCCTCATGAGACTGTCAGCTGATTTCTCAACAAACTCTGCAGGCCAGAGGGCTTGGCATGAAATAGTCAAAGTGATGAAAAGCAAAGACCTAAATGAAGATTACTCTACCCAGCAAGGCTATTATTTAGAATTGAAAGAGAAATAATTTCCAAGAGAGAAAGAGCTGAAGGAGTTTGTCGCGACCAAACCAATATTACAAGTAATGTTAAAGGGACTTCTTTAAGTAGAAAATATAAAAAAATATGAATAAGAAAATACGGGAAAAAAATTCTCACTGACAAAGGCAAACAGTAAAAGCAGTGTATCAACCAACTAGTCAGAACAAAGGTTAAAAGGCAAAAGATCATGTGTAATTACAAAAATAAACTAAGAGATACCCATAAACATACACAAAAGTAAAAGATAGTAACAAAACCAGAAACCTTTTAGAAAGTAAAAATGGTAATGATTTTAGAATGTGTTTGAACTTAAGCAATCATCAACTTACAATACACTGCTATAAACATAGGTTGGTATATAAGCACGTGGTAGCCACAAACCAAAAGTCTAGAAGAGATACACAACAAATAAAGAGGAAAGACTCTAAACATGACACTATATAAAACAATCAACATATAAGAGGATAAGAGAATTAGAAACAGCAAAAAAATACAAAAACAATCAGAAAACAATAAAACAGGAATAACTATATACCTATAGATAACTACTTTAAATGTAAATGGATTAAATGCTCCAATCAAAAGACATGGTGTGGCTAAATGGAGAACAAAACAAAATCCATACATATGTTGCCTACAACAGACCCACTTTAGATCGAAAGACACACAGAAACCGAAAGAAAAGGGATGGAAAATAATATTTCATGCGCATGGAAATGAAAAAAGCTAGGGTAGCAATACTTTATATCAGACAGAATAGCTTTTAAAACAAGAGCTGTAATAAGAGACAAAGATGGGCATTTCATAATGATAAAGTGATAGATCCAACAAGAGGATGTAACTCTCGTAAACATCTACGCACTCGATGTAGAAGCACCTAAATAAATAAAGCAAATATTGATGGACGTAAAGAGAAAGATCGATAGTAATAAAGTCATAGTAGGGGACTTTAACATCCCATTGACATCAATGAATAGATCACCCAATCAACAAGTAAACAGTGGCCTTAAATGACACATAGATCAGATAGACTTAATTGATATTTTTCAAACATTTCACCTTAAAGCAGTAGAATATACATTCTTTTCAAGTGCATATGCAACATTTTCCAAGACAGAACACATTAAGGCCACAAGTCTCAAAAATTTAAGAAGACTGAAATCGTGTCAAGCATCTTCTGATCTCAATGGTATAAAACTAGAAATCAATTATAAGAAAACTGAAAAACACAGAAACACATGGAGGCTGAAAAACAAGCTAATTAACAATGAATGGATTAACGAGATCTAGGAATAAATCAAAAGATACCTTGAGCCAAATGAAAATGACACAAAAATCTATGGAACACAGCCAAATCAGTTCCAAGAGGAAAATTTATACCAATACAGGCCTATCTCAAAAAATAAGAAAAATCTCAAATAATCTAACCTTACAACAAAAGGAGCTAGAATAAGATGAACAAACATAGCCCAAAGTGAGTACAAGGAAGTAAATAATAAAGATCAGAGAGGAAATAAATAAGAGTCTAAAAAAACAATAGAAAAGATCAATAAAACCAAGAATTGGATCTTTAAAAAGATAAACAAAATTCATAAACCTTTAGCTAGACTCATCAAAAAAAAAAAAAAAAAAAGGGCACAAATAAATCAGAAATGAAAGGGAAGTGACAACTGACACCACGGAAATAAAGGAAACTAGACAACCTGGAAGAAATGTATAAACTCCTAGAAACACAATCTTTTAAGGCTGAATCAGGAATAAAAAGGAAATGTGAACAGGCGAATAACTACTGATGAAATCAAATCGGTAATTAAAAAAACTCTCAACACACAAAAGCCCTGGACCAGATGGCTTCACAGGTGAATTTTACCAAACATTCAAAGAAGAATTAACACCTATCCTTCTCTAAGTATACCAAAAAATTCAAGAGGATGGAAAGCTCTCAACCTCATTTTACAAGGCTACCATTATCATGAAACCTAAAGACACTACAATAAAAGGAAATTATAAGCCAATATCCCTGATGAATACAAATGCAAAAATCAAGAAAATATTATCAAACTAAATTCAGCAATACATTAAAAGGATCATACATCATAATCTAGAATGATTTATTCCCAGGAAACAAGGTTTGTTCAATATCTGAAAATCAATCAATATGATATACCACCTAAACAAAATGAAGTCTAAAAATGATCTATCAATAGATGCAGAAAAAGCATTTGACAAAATCCAGCATCCACTTATGATAAAAATACTCAGCAAAGTGGGACTAGAGGGAACATACCTCAATATAATAAAGGCCACATATGATAAACCCGCAGTTAATACCACATTCAACAGGGGAAAGATGAAACGTCTTAAGATCAGGAACAAAACAAAGATGTCCACTTCCACCACTTTTATTCAACACAGTACTTAGAAGTCCTAGCCGCAGCAATCAGATGAGAAAAAGAAAAGGCACCCAAATTGGAAAGGAAGAAGTAAAACTGTCATTATTTGTAGGTGACATAATACTACATATAAAGGGAATCCTACAGATTTCATCAAAATACTATTAGAACTACTGAATGAAATCAATAAAGATATAAAATTAATGCTCAGATATCAGTTGCATTTTTATACACCAATAATGAACTATTAGAAAGAGAAATTAAGTAAACAACTCCATCAAAAAGAATAAAATATCCAGGAATAAATTTAACCAAGGAAGTAAATGACCTGTACTCGGGAAACTATGACATTAAAGAAATTAAGGAAGATATAAATAAATGGATAGGAAGAATGAACATCATTAAACTGTCCATACTACCCAAAGCAATCTACAGATTCAACGCAATCCCTATGAAAATACCAATGGCATTTTTCACAGAACTAGAAAAAACAATTATAAATTTATATGGAACCACAAAAAAACCCGAATAACCTCAACAATCTTGAGAGAGAACAAAGTTGCAGGTATCATGCTACCTGATATCAAACTACACTACAAAGCTATAGCAATCAAAACAGCATGGTACATAGAACAATGGAACAGAACAGAGAGCCCAAAAATAAACCCACACCTATATGGTCCATAACTGCAAGAGAAAGTAGGCAGGAATATATAATGGGGCAGACAGTCTATTCAATAAATGCTGCTGGGAAAAATGGACAGACACATGGACGAACCTAGAGGGTATTGTGCTAAGTAACATAAGTCAGAGAAAGACAAGTACCATATGATTTCACTTAAATGTGTAATCTAAAGAGCGAAATAAAACAGAAGGAGGCTCACAGATACATAGAACATGTTGATGGTTGCCGGTTGGGAGAGGATTAGGGAGTTGGGTGAAAAATGTGAAGGGATTAAGAAGTACAAATTGCTAGTTTCAAAAAAAGTCACAGGGATGTAAAGTACAGCATAAAGAATATAGTCAATAATACTGAATAACTATGTATGGTGTTGGGTGGTTCCAAGACTTACGGGGGATCACTTAAGTAAAATGTCTAATCACGACACTGTACCTGAAACTGATATAATATTGAAAGACAATTGTAATTAAAAAAATAAAAAATAAAGTAACAAAAATAAGATATTGAAAGCCCTGTGACTAAATAGGAAAAAAAAAACAAACAAAAAACGAACTCATACAGAGAACAATTTAATGGTCACTAAATGGGAGGCAGCTTGGAGAGATGGGTGGAAAAGGTAAAGGGAGTAAGAAGCACAAATTGCCAGTTATGAAAACAGTCATGGGGATGTAAAATACAGCATAGGGAATACAGTCAATTATATTGTATTGTATGGCTAGGTATGGTGTCAGGTGGGTGCTAGAGCTATGGAGTAATTACTTTGTGGGTTAAATAAATGTCTAATTGCTATGTTGTACACATGAAACATAACATTGTTGACTGTAACTGAAAAAAATTTAAATAAAATTTAAAAAAAGAACACAGAAATTAGAAATTAATTCTAAAGAGAAAGACTAGCATCTTCTGTTAGAAGAGTAACAAAGGTAATCTGTGGCCACTGTATTAGTGATATAAAAATTAGATTTAAATTTTTTTCCAATTTATAATATACAGAAAATTGAAAAATTATACAGTGAATACCTATATACATACCACTTATATGACTAAAATTCTACTAAAGAGATACTGTTTTAAAGGGGGCTAGCTTCTGATAACAAAAGTGAAGAATGTTTCCTAGAGAAAATCACTTGGGAGAAGGCAGTTTCTATTCTTTTTATTTTATTTTTTATTAATTCTAAATAAATGGACAAAAACCTGCCATCAAAGACTTTTTGAAGAAAGCAAATCTCATGTCCACTGCAGGGTCGATACCACTGAGACCTGTGTCTCCTCATCTATTTTTGAACCCTAAACTTTAGCCTACCATAATAACTTATGTTCATATTAATTCTGAATTACTAGAGAAAGTCATACTTGGTGTACTCTAAGTAGATGAGAAAGATAAATATATTTTAGAAAGCTTACCATAAAAATAAAAATTTAACTTAAGATTATAAACTTTAAAGCAGATCTTGGGCTATGTGAAAAACTAAAATATGGTTTTGGTAGATACTATAATCACACATACTTCTCTTATCATTTCAGAAACTGGAGACTAAATGCAAAAGGTGAGAATGGAGACCACTGTCAGAACTTCTCCAAGACAGAATAGAGCAACGTCATGCCAGCTGAGCATAGGTATGTAACCATATAAAATGAATTCTACTCCTAAGAACATGTTATAAAATATCTTATATTTTACATAGCTCTTTTAGTTACAGAATTATATTTAACCTAGGTATTGACCAAAATAGCCAGGGCATAACTTTCTTTCTTTTTTTTTTAATTTTTAATTAAGTTTATTGGGATAACATTGGCTGATACAATTACATAATTTTCAGGTGTACATTATCATTTGACATCTGTATATTCTATTGTGTTTACCACCCAAAATTCAGTTTCCTTCGGCAACTATATTATTTTATCCCCTTTACCCACTTCACCCTCCCCCTAAACCCTATGTTTGACCCCCTTTGCCCAGTCTACTTCCCCTACCCCACTAGTAATCACTAGTCTATAGTCCTCTGGTAACCACTAGCCTATGGGCATAACTTTCATAAGACTGCTGTGGAGAAATGTAGATGAAATAAAATCCTTTACCTCCATTCTCATGATAATCCTATTGTTTCTGGTGGTGATGCTCATTAAATGCTGAAACCTCAAATCTCTGGCTTGAAGACCTAATTCTTGATGTAAGTCAGTTTTCTTCCTTTCTAGAAAAGAAATATTTTCAATAAAAAGAAAGAGCTAAATTAATCAATTGAAGAGATTTTCATACTGGAGCACATCATCCCACCCAGAGAATTTTCTATTATTACCAGAAACAAAAGCTAAAATGAGTCTTTTTAATAATCACTTTTACTTCAAAAACAGACTCATGTTAAATCTGGTCAAACGCTATTTTCTCCTGTTACCCATACTTCATAAAATTTCTCTGTACTTAGAAGTGCCTTGGGACCAATATAAAAACCATAGCTATACATTGTTAGAAACCTTCAGTATCAATTTCTAGCTCTAGAGACAGGTCACCTTTTTTTTTTTTTTAAAATATGATTTGTACATTACTACATTTTCTGTTTTTCTCACTACGTTATCATCATATTTTAAATCTGTGAAGAGATAAGTTCAATTTTCTTTCTTTAGACTAATACAAAATGAGAAAATAAAGTCAGTTGTCACACTAGAGTCCCCAACCTAAAAATTAAATTACCTAAGAGAAAGCATAATAAACTCAAAAAATGATACTGATTATAGTATTATCTGTACTTGTAACATCAAACCACATCTGTGGCACAGCTCTATATAGAACAATCTTATGAAGGAGATATTGAGCAAAAACACCCAAAATATTCCACTATGATATCAGCAATAGCAGAAATAGAATCATGGAATTGGAAGTGAACTGAAACTTGCATTTGAAGTCAGACAATAAAGTAATGCTCAGTTTTATTTACAGCCAATGTTGGCAGAGTTCCATCTGACTGCCATTCAGTGCCTTGTCCCTCCTGTCTTCAGTCAACCACTGCCACTGCAATGTCAGTGGTATTATGTGACACCTTAAACATGGTACAGGAGATGAATATGAGGACTAAGGCAGTGAAAGGGAGACTAAAAAGGAGAAACAAAAGGGAAGAGTGTTTCTCTGTGTTCCAGCTGCACACCAATATCTCTTTAACATCACGTTAAAGTGAATGTGGCTCCTGACGGGAAAAAAAATTCTCGGAGAATATGCATAGTCCAGGTACAGCCACTTTCAATGAGGACTGAAGGACAATGCTGAAGAAGGATCTCCTCCTTCATTTACACACCCATATACTCACAGTATATGATTTAAAAAGGTGACTTAGAAAAACTTATTGATACTTACCAAAGGAAGTAACATTTCCTTCTTTGTCAAATTTTGTCTGAGGAGAGTAAAAACAAAATATTATTTCCTCCAAGTATGCTATTTACGATAACATACCATATGGTACTATGATATCTCCCAAATACTAAAATACAGATATAAATCATAATTGCTCTTCTTTAGGTTAAATTCAGTTTTGAGTTAAAGGTTTAAAAAAAATCTTTTTCCTTTGCTAGGACAAATCTGACTTGAATTAAGTTTCTATTTTGGTTCCCTTGGAAATGCGATGAAGGAGTATCAGTCGTTACTAGGTAACATTGTGTATGATAAAAATGCCCGATGACTGGTAGACTGCACCGGATTAGAAGGCCGGTGAGCGAATTATAGATATCTGGTGAGAAGCCATGTGATGGCTCTTGTAACTGGCCATGTTCCGTGTGGGAGTACTGGATGTGCCTCTGAGACAGTGACAAGAGATACTGGCACTAGAGGGCATGGGGATTCTAAACCAAGGTGGACCTCACCTCCATCTTTGAGAATACCATCTCCTTTCACCTGAGCTGTCACAAAGCAGCCCCTGGATGGCTGCATGGACTTCTCTTGAAGAGGAAACACCTGATGCGGCCCTTCTGCATTCCCTTTTATTTTTCTGAATAGACTGGTACCAACTGTGGCTTATTTTGTGAATCTAAGTATCTACTGGAGGCTATGAAGTCTCTCTGGTGGGCAATGCCGAACCAATAAAGATTTACAGAAAAGGCCTCTTCTGATAGTTTGGAGAGAGGATACAATGCAGAAAATGTATTTATTTCCTGTAAAGCAGAGGGAATACTTTTCTGTAATACCTTTTCACAGTCAAGTTTGAAGATGTCAAGTAATATTTAATAAATCATTATGTACTAGGCTGTACCAATTACTACTAAATATGCATTTTGAGAAAGATACACTCTGAAATATAGTTGAAGGTACAAGTCCTGTATTGTTACCATGGAAACACATGCATGCTGTGTTAATAACATAATAAATGCCTACCATATATAGCTTGGTTCTCATAAGCAAAAATAAGATCAATATAAATATGTAACAAGTACCACAAAGTATCAGTGTGAAAGGGAAATTTACATCAAAGGAAGCTAATAGCTTTCAAGGACTTAATACATGCAAGGGGAAACCCTGAGTACAGGCATATCTTGTTTTACTGCGCTTTGCTTTAGTGCTATTCATATATGTTGTGTTTTTTACATACTGAAGGCAAGGCCCTCCACCAGCAAAAAGATTATGATTCACTTTATTGAGATACTTGCTCTGTTGCGGTTATCTGGAACTGAACTTGCAATATATCCGAGGTCTGCCTATATTTAAGTAGGAAGCTCTGAACTGTGGTTTGAATGACCTGTTCTAATATAAAACAGCTCCACAATCGTTAGCAGTTTCAAGAGTGCTGTTAAGCAAATCTACCTTGCAACCCAGGTCACCAGCTAATAAGCAAAACACAAAAACAACCTTACTTTTAAGTATAATGATTCATTATAAAACAAAAAATAATATTGTGGCCCACCAGTCCAATCCTGTTAACTTAGAAAAGTAGGAGAAGTACTTTCTGTAAGTTATCAAACATAACATACATACTCACCACAGTAAACACTGGGGCTACACTGGCTAAAGTGGCTTGAGAGACATCAGAAGTTATAAACCGATGCATTTCACCTGAAGAATGAATTAAAGAATACTCTGTGATCATATGCTTGTTTTTCACATATAGCTAAGATCCCTCTCTCATAGTATGCAGAGACCTTCAGACTATTTTACTAATTTTTGAAACTTTTTCCTAGAGAAAAAAGAAGAAACACCTTTATTTTTTAATTTTAATATTTGTAGGCAATTGCATTAGGTTTGACAGGGAATGATTTTTAAAAGTAATGGCTTAAGTAATGGCATCAGAATAATTTATGGATTCAAACCACTCTTTTCTAATTATTATTGGTATCTCAGAGTTGGATAAACTGTACAACAACGTCCTGAGATTAAAATGCTCATTCTTTTTTACATGATTTAAAAAGGCTCTTCATGCAAATTATATTGGTAGATATATTTTAGAAAACATAGATCTCAAGTACCACCTGATCTTTCAGCATTCCAATACCAGAATTATTTGCTTGACCTACAGACTTCTAAGTATTAACTTTTTTTGCTCAGATAAACTATACACTTCATCATTAATACCTATAAAATAACCAACTGGAATGCGGACTCCACTGAACTGAAATGATCTTATTAGAAAATAAAGTTAAAACATGATTAGACCGAGTTGAAGTGAGCTCTGAAGTATAACCAAGTAAATTTTAATATCTGACAAAAAAATAAACATAAGAGGAATAGGTAAGAGATGTAAAATTACCCATTATTTTATGCTTCCAAAGTAGTCCTAACTCCACAGAACGCGCAGATATATTCCCATTTCTGACCTTAATCTTTCTCATTACTTACATTTAATGACTCATGTAATTTGTTAGCACCTTTACAAAACACAAACTAAGAGCCAGCTGAATAGAGATAAACGTCAGCGCTAGAAATCAGCATTTGCTAATTAGTCACACGTTAAAGCACTGTCTGGATAAAGATTCTGAAATCTCAATGTTTGTCCTAAAACATAAGATGGACTCAACCTGGGTCTGCAAGCATTATCGAAGGAGGGACTACGGGGTGAACCCAATTCAGAAAAACTCACCACCGAGTATGGGGAAGGAGGTGGATATGGTGAGTTTGGGAGGCTTTTGAGAACACAACTAAGAACACATTTGAGGACAGCACACTATTGAGAAACTATGCATTTTAACGCCTTTTATTTCTGAGCAATGAGTACCCACATTTTCACATCTGTGAAAATGTTAACGTATCGTCGTGCTTCATTATTTGGTGAAAAAATAACTCAGATTCCTCCTTCCCCGCCTCAATCTGATCCCTGTCTGGCTCGTTGCACAGGACCTGAAAACAAAGTCAGATCTTTCTCAGAGCAACTTACTGTGAAGTCTCACTTCCAGGTGCGTTTCCACTCCTTACCTGGGCAACTAGACAAATGTATAACTGTTTCCACAAGAAAGAGGTAAAAAGCAGGGAAAACAAAACTAATACTTAAATATTTCAAGTGGATAAACCCAATCTTCAGAACTGAGTACGACTAAAAGTTACACAGGTTTTTAAAAACCTCACCAGAGCAGAAGGGGAGATTTGCACAAGGGGCGACGAGGAGGACAGCGCCGGGCGGTCGGATCCCAGCAGGGCCGCGTTCCGGACGGTGGCGCCCCGGGTTGCCCGCGGACCTGGGCTGACAAAACCCCACGCGCGGACCCGAAGATCGAGGCTGAGAACGCGGTGCGGGGCAGCCTCAGCCACGCGGGTCGAGTGGGCGGTGAGGGGCCAGCGTCCCAGCGCCGCGGGGCGGAGAGGCAGTAGGGAGGGCTGGGGGGCAGTACCTGCCAGGCGGGGCCGATGGGGTCTGCACAGCCGCGCGGCCAGGCTCCCTCCAAGTAGTATAGCGGCGCGCGGAGTCAGGCCGCAAGCCATAGCACACAGGTTGTGCCGGGGCAGCCCCGCCGCGCACGACAGGAGTCGGGGCAGGCTCCGCAGGCATTCCATAGCGCTGGAGTGAGGGGGAAGCAGCAGCGAGACCCCAGCTCGTCATGCCGAACAGGAGCGGGTCAGCCGGCACAGCGTGCCCCCGCGCGGGAGTCCGAGTGCGACCCCGTCTGCCGCGCATGCGCAGAGTGCGCTGCGCCTGCGCCTTACTCCCCGCGCAGGCTCGGAAGGGGCCTTTGGGCGAGATTATTTTGTTCGGTGCCTGTGACGTAGGGAGGGACTGGCTCCGGGTGAGGAAGCGGATGTGTACCTCGGCGAGGCAAGTTAGCCCCGATTTGACCCCTGGGCCCTTGGAATGGTCTGGCCAGAACGTAAAAGTGTCAATTACTTATATTAATTAGTAATCGTCAAATGTGAAAAAATACTCAACATATGTGTAATGCTTTGCAGTTTCTGGAGCCTTTTCACACATGTGATAAGGTCTGCAGTTTGGAAGCGAGGAAGTGATGCCCACATCCAACTCAATTTATATTTAAGTGTAATATGGCAAAAATAATGAACCGTCTTAGGAATGCTTAAACTTTTGCTAGTGAAGACAGGAATATAAACGCACAGAATTTATATTCCATATTTAATCAACTGTAAGTATAAATTTCAAGGTGCCATTCGTTATTTTATGTACTACCAAGAAAAAAACACTGATAAACTATGCTTTCTAATTATATCACTTAAGTTATTCCAATTTCAGTTTTTAAAATGTGAAAAAAAGAGAGGTTTTGAATTGATTAGATGCAGTATATATGCATATTTTTAAAGTGAATTAATAGACTTGTCCTTCCCACAGTAGTAATGTAAGGCAGACACAGGTTTCACAGATATGCATTCAATCACTACATGTGAACACAAAGCTAAGGAAACATGAGAGAACCATTTTGTCTGTGGGGTGTTAGGACTGCGGGTAGATTAGGAAGCCAGTAGAGAGAAGGCTTCATAGAAGAGGGGATGTTTGACTTGAGCAAGGACTTCAAGCACTGCTTCCTGAGGGCTGCAGTCAAGAAAGAGACCTATGTGTAGAGAACATGGTTGGTAGATTTTTTATTTTACTAAGTGCTTCAATGATGAAATACATATTTCAAAAACATTACCAGCCATGTCACCCCGAACGTGCCTGATCTCGTCTGATCTCGGAAGCTAAGCAGGGTCGAGCCTAGTTAGTACTTGGATGGGAGACCACGTAGGAAGACCAGGTGCTGCAGGCATTAAAAACAAAACAAAACAAAACGAAAACCATTAAAAGCCTTCAGACATTTCTTTGAGACAATGTGATAACTCTTCTTTAAAACTTGGCCCCCAGCATGATTCAGCTCTGTTTAACATGACCGTTACAAACCCTTAGAAAAACTCTGGGATGTGGCCAGACACATATTTTGTGATTCATGTCAAGGATTCAGAATTTAATCTGAGAAGGGTGGGAGCCATCGGAGAGACTTTGAGCAGAGAGGTAATGACCTAATTTATGTTTAAATGGATTGTTCCAGCTGTGTGGAGGGAGAGATTACAGAAAGGCAAATGTGGAAGCAGAGAGATGGTGATGATGGTTTGGGCTAAGAATGACTGGAAGAAAATATTTGCCAGTCACATAACTCAATGGTCTACAACTTTTTTGGCACCAGGGACCGGTTGCTCCTATAAGAATCTAATGCCTAATGATCTGAGGTGAATCTAAGGTGGTGATGCTAGTGCTGGGGAGCGGCTGCAAACGCAGATGAAACTTTCTTTGCTCACCCGCTGCTTACCTCCTGCTGTGCAGCCCAGTCCTAACAGGCCACAGACCGGTACAGGTCCACAGCCCTGGAGGTTGGGGGCCCCTTGACATAACTGGTAAAGGACTTGTATCTAAACTACATAAGGAATTCTCAAAACTCAATTATATAGGTACAAAACTTGGCAAAGTAAAGTAGGAAGTGTCTTGAGATCATTCACAGGGCTTTGCTCTGCACAAATGTAGACACCCAAGAGATGAGAAATCTGATTGCTATACAAATAACGTTACAACTACGCTGAATGGAAATGGATAAAGGAAAGCCAAGAAATTTGACCCAGCAGTCAGCCCCTAGCAGTGCAAGCATCTATGTACAACAAAATTGATTGCTCTGTGCTTCCATATTAAGTCATAAAGTCTCTGGTTAAATAGTTTGGTTAAGTCTATGAAGGACCAGCCTCAATTTTCAAACCAACCATGAAAAAAAACATAAGTGAAAAAAGTTCCAAACTTTATACCATATACCACCACTTTTTATAGCATCCCCTAAAAAGCAAACTAAATTATATTATTTAAAGAATAAGATAATGTGAAATAAGAGTGTTTAAGCACGGGGTTGATGAACAAAATTCAGAACTATGATTATCTGTGAGATTAAAAGTTTGGCAGGGTTGTATTCAGGAGGAACGTTATGGTAATGTTCCAGTTCTTAAAATGGGAAGTGGGTTCAGGGTGATTATATTATTACGTCTTATAACTTAGAGCTGTTGTATATGTAACATATATATACTATATACAGCTTTAGAGGGTGATATGTGATATACACAAAAGAATATAACTAATGTCTTGTATATGTAAATAAGGTAAGTTAACATATATAACCTTTTGTAGTAAAAAATTATTTTTGACCAAACTGAAGGTTCCCTGGGGCTTGAGGAGCTATGTTCCAAGGATCACATTTAGGAAGGGAGCCTGGTGGCTGTACTGTCCACATGTTTCATGAACACGAAATTAAGAAAAAAAAATCAATGAACCTCCCAACATAATGTACACTTCCCCCAACATCAGCAATTAACAACTGCTGGTCAATTTTGTTTCCCTTACACCTCCACCCACTTCCCTTTGCCCTGGATATTTTAAAAGCAAATCTTAGCTTATCATTTTGTCAAAGTTTCAGTATATAAATCTAAAAGTTATGGACTCTGCTTTAAATTTAAATTTAACCCAAATAACATCATCGGATTCCCAAATTCCTTAATAGAAATTACTTAAAATCATCAACTATCCAATTAAGATTCACATTTCCTGGATTGTCTTCTGAACTGCCTTCTTTCTATTTTTCTAGTTGATTTATCCTGGATCTAAACAATGCCCATATAGTGTAATTAGTTGAAATAGCTCCCAAGTCTTTTTTAATTTATAGATTTCCTCTCCCTCTCATTTTTTCTTATAATCTTTTTGCTGTTGTTATTGTTGATGACGATATTAAAACACTAAGTCATGTGTCTGAAGACTTTCCCATTTTTGATGTTACTGGTGGCATCCCTGTGGTGTCATTTGACTTGTCCCTCTATACCTTGTATTTCTTATACTTTGGTAGATTTAGGTGGACTTTCCTGTAATGACTACGTCACAAGTGGCAATGTGTTCTTCACTGAGATGTCGTTAATGTCTAATTGTCCCTTTTTGTGATGTTTGGAAAACTGTGATACCCTAAATTCTATCATTCCTTCCACTCTTACAAGCCAGAAAACTCCTTCATCAGTTATAGAATTACCCTGATTTATATAAGAGAGGCAGGATATGTGTTTGATTCTTTCCCTTTATTTACCAGCTTTCGAAATGAGTTTGCACCCAGAATCTTCTAAAGGCAATCGATGACGATTTATTTTTACTTAGTATTATTGAGAATGTATGAATATTCACCTATATGATGTGTTTCAAAATAGGATATTTATAGATTTTTTTAGGGTCTGGTATAAGATGGGTCTTTCAATGCAGTGAGACCGATTAGGAAAGGTTTTCATATAATAGTTGATTGATGGATGCAGTAAGGGAGGGTTTGAAGAGAGACTCGAATGGTATAGTCATGTGATAACCTAGAATAGTGATCTGTGGTTCTGATGAGGAGCTGTTGCCCTGATGAAAGCTTTTTGGGTAGCTGGTCTACTGCTCCAGTAAATGGAGTTTTAGGAAATTCCTAAAACAAACAATAAAGGTATTTGAAACATATATATACACATATGTGGCTTGAGACTTGCCCTTTCTCTTTGAGGTGTATTTCTTCCTTTCAACCTTAAAATTTATGTTATGTGTCAATATTTCCCTCTCTCCATTTTTATGTCATTCCTTTTCTCTTTTAGTTCTATCTTTAATATTAACTAAAAAATTTTAAAATAAGCTGCCTTATTTTTTAACCTTTTCCTGCTGCCTCTGGAGTGTTGAAACTGCTCTTCCAACTACAAATTCCTCTTTAGCTTCACCTTTTCTACTATTTATCCTACATTATTAATAAATAGCATCAGTGAATATTCACTCCAACTATTCCATTTTTCATGCTTAATATTTTTGTTCATTTTAGTTTTATTTTTTCCTGACTCATATTGCTATTGTCATCCCTCATCTTCTTAAATATATTTAAAAGCTTATTTAAAAACATTGGTCCATCAGCTCTAATCACTCAGTTTCAGATGATAGGTGTTCAATTGTGATCTTTTTATAGTAATTGTACTTCTCAGATGTCTAGTTATTTGGCCTGTGAGTTCATGATCCCCTGCCTTTCAGCTACTCTGATAAATATTCTTCCAGCCAGGGGAAGTCGCTGCCCTCAGGGGAGAAGCGGTATGGAAAAGAAACAGTCACCCAGCAGCCCTGGTGGTGCCTGTGTGTTTGGGGGGAAGGTAGTGAATGGGGAGAGGGGGTCCGTCTGCAGCTGTTTTAATTCCACTAGAATTTCAACTGTGAAGAGCAGGGCAGTGATTGTCCCAAGGCAACATAGGAGAGAAGTAAGAGCAGAACCTCAGAACATCAAATTCTTTCATCCCACCTCCCTTCTCAGCATCTCCTCCCGCCCCGCCCCACCTGCAACACTCGCAGATAAAGGGCATCTTCAGCAGCCCCGACCCCGGGTTTCTATTCTTGTACTTCCTAGCACCCCCCGCGTTCCTCCAGAGACTTGGGCTTCTCCAGGACAGATTGTGGGAGCCATCAGAGGCCACTGTTCTGGTGAAAACGGCAGCCGCATGAGAGTCGCACGGGTGTTTGTGGAGCCCGACCTTGAGAGCATCTCCTGGAGTGTCTGGATTCAGCGTTTCGCCGTACAGTTTTCTGTCTGTCTCCGCCGCGAGTGACATCAATGCTGTCCTGCGCCTCAGTTTCCCTCACCTGCAGATTAGGGATAACGCTAGTTTCTGCCGTGTGGATTATTTAATAATGCTTGTAAAGCAGTAAAATGGAATCTGGCACAGGTGAGCGCTACTCACCTGTTCGCTGTGGATCATACAGCAAAACCATACCTGTCCTCACCACTCAGAACAGATTGGCTGAGACTTCCTACTTCCTGCTCAGAGCTGGCGGGGCCCCGCTAAGGAGGCCGCAGTCCGGACCCTCCTGGGGACCGCCCGCGCTGCCGTCGGAGAGGCAGGTGTCCCGGGGCCGGGGGTGGAGGGATGGGGGTTGAGGGAGGAGGCCAGAACTCTCCTTCGGAACAGGTAAGGGCGGCTGACCCGCCCGGGCAGGTGTGGGCCGCGAGCAGAGTTGGCGGCGCTTGGAGGAGGCCGCCTGGGGGCGCTGCGCCCCTTCCCGCCGTTTGGTCTTGGCCGCCGCGGGCGCCGCGTCGGCCCTCAGTCCCGGCCCGGAGCGCAGGATGCGGTGCCTCGGCACCACGCACCTGGTGAGTATCCACGCGGGGGAAGGGGCCCGGGGTAGGGACCCGGGGGGAAGGCGGGTCGCGCCCCTGCTGCACGCAAGTTCCCTGCCGAGACACCTCCGCCTCCCCCAATCCGCGCAGATTAAGACCCGCCCGGACCTCGGACCCCAGTGCGGTGCTGAGGCGCTCGCACGACCTTCGGGCCTCCTCCAGGTGCACCGCTAGGTAGGGACTTGGCGACTGGGAAGTTCACATCCGCTCCGCACGAGCTGGTGTTTCCGAGCTCCAGGAGAGCTCTGGGCGGCCACGGTACAAAGCAAACAAAAAAAGTTACTTTAAGCAGTCTTCAAGCCAGTTTGGGTTCCATTTCCAGGTTGGAACCGTATAGTGCTTTATTCTCTTCTACTTTCTCCCCTCTTTTTCTGGAAGGTTTCTGCAGAGAGAACCCCCGGCCCAAGAGAGTGGCGGCCTCAGATTTATAGGAAATGCACAGATCTGCAGTGGTTGTTCCTGTTCTTTCTTTTTTGGACGGGTTTGGTAAGTGTGGGTGCCAGAGTGTATGTCCTCAAATAACTGCCCCAAATGTAAATCGCATGCTTAGGGCCGTTCCTGGAGAAGTCAAGGCTCCTGGGGGTACCAGGTGAAAGTTGGTGCTGCAATAAGAGACACCTGCTATGGTGGCAGAATAAACATCAGTCCTGGGGAATTGTCAGGTGTCTCAACCTCCAGGCTCGCTCAGTCGGAGAGGCTGTCTTGTTGCAGGCTTCCTTCTAAGAGAAAGTCCCATAAGGAAACGAGAATTACCCTTTTCAATGGTATTTGATTAGCCCATGTGTGGTCTCTTACCTCAGCTCGCCTGGTAGAAGTTTGTTTTTACCATCTCGGTCCTCAAAATTAAAATGTTTCTCAAGTGTTTGCTGTTCCTCTCACACAGGAAAATCCAGGGTGAGTCTAGAAATAAATTACCCTTACTTTAGCTGAGCAGAACAAATGCACTCTTGGTGCATTGTGTTTAGCAGCTGACAGGGAAAACAAGCCTTTGATATAAACCCTCAAGTTAGATAGGTAATGATATTTTCCCCATTTTTTCCTCCTAGTTTCCAGGTATGTATGATTGCTGGTGGACCTCATCAGGCTCTGCCATTTTAGTCCTGGGAGAGTCTCTCAGAAACTGAATCTTGATGCTTTGATACTTATTTCAGAGTTGTAGGTAACAGCAGAAAAAGCCTCAGTTTCTTCAAACACCACGTTCATGAAATCCATTCCAGATTGGGACATGTATTTGCTATCTGGTAAATGATTAATTTATAAAGCCTGATAATACCTACAAGAGAGTAATTACCTTTGTTGAAAAGACTTAAGTTGGACTAGACTCTAAAATATCATATTTATTCCTCTTTCTTTAGAAAAAGATTTGTTCACTTGTTGACTTTCCCGACTGGTTTCACATGGACAGACATGGTTACAGGCACAGTAGAAGGTTGGGCCTGAAAGATATAACCATATGTTCTGTGTTGCCTATATACGTGGCCCTTGGAGCTCTCCTCTAGAAGTTCAGAGAAATTGAGCATCTACGACACCTCTTCCTTAATGACCTGCAGACGGCTGGTGTTTCTGTCTGGTCTGCAGTTGTAAAAATGCACGGAGCAGCTGTCCTGTTTGCGCCTGGCAGCTTTGACCTCGGGCCGTTATATTTAATGGTCTTCCCTAGCCCCTAGTACAGCAAACCTAGTACCGAACTCCTAGCCCAATGGCCGTCTGGGAACATCATAGCCTGAACAGTTATGAACCATCCGAGAGGTGGCGCAGAGCCACCAACTGCTCTAAAATTACATGTCATTTGCAAAATAAACCTGAAAGTTTCAATATGCCTGATCTCCTTACTACATTAAATTTGAATAATGATAATGAGAGTCCTTTCTTAGCTGACTGCCTTTTAATATCTTCGGCAACATTTTTAAACCACAGATATTTAGGAGTTTTTTTTTCTGCCTCTGCTATGTAGTTTTTCTGGTCTTGTGGCATCCTGACCTTGGTGACTTGCTAGACAGGATTATTACTGGTGGTGCTGCCCAGGGTGAGGGCTGGACAAAGGAGGTCTGGGGCCAGGGTCCAGAATTGTAAACAAGGATGGTCTTTTGCAGATAGAAAGAATGTCAGCCTTTGTTTATACATTCATAAGACACATAGAACAGAATGTTTCAAAGTCTGGACCGTCTCTGCCTCTGCTTACCTCTCCCACCTCACCCTTTCCTACTAGTCTTCAAGACTCCATCTCCCCCGCTCCGCCACCCCCAGCACCATCCAAGGTGACCTTGGTAGCCACACCTACCTTGTACACACACCTACTGAATCACCTGTCACATGTAATTGAAATTGTGTGTTTGAAATTGAAACCAAGTTTTGATGGTTTAAAGAAGTATAGTATGGCAGGGACTCAGGATTACCAAAATCCTCTCCCACTCATCCCCCAAAACTTTCCACTCCTCCCACGAGTTTCCCAAGGGAGATAGTGACATGAATGCTGGTAAGTGGAAAGTATCACTTCATTATTAGATCTCTGGTGAACTGGGCAGAAGCATGGGAGCCTTTTCCTCCTCCTAAGTCCCAACTCAATCAGGATCTCACCACATTCCATGTTGGAAGGGCAGGAGAAGAGTATGTTGAGGTTGGATCAGCTGTGCCAGCCAAGTGGGTGTGCAGTAAAGGAAGTAAAGGCTGAGGGGTCTGTCCACCGGGAAAGGTGACTCACTCAACCCTGGAGTCTACCACGAGACTGAGGAGGTGCTTGGGGTGAGGGGAGCCTTCCTCCAGGAATGTCTGCAAGTTAAATGTCCTGCTTGTCTTCTAGGCTAAGTTCTTTGAGTACAGGAACTTGATTTTGTTTATCTTTGTACCCCAGTAACAGTCTCTGGCACACCTGGGTACTTGAAGACTTATTGATTTCTAGATTAATAGTGCAGAAGATCTGAAATGTATTTGGCTTTGGGACAATGTGCCTTAGGAAAATGGTATCAATACTATATTTTATTGAATTGTGTACTATATCCTCTCTCCTGGAATAATTCTATCAGTACTGGGAGGATTAATAGTATTCAATGCATTGTATATTGGGGAACTTACAACATTAAGTTTGTGTTAGGGGAGGATAAATACTCAATCTTGGTAGAAGGCACGTCAGGCATATTAACAACTGAAATTTTGAGCTGAAATTTCAAATATTCCACGTTCATTATAAAATTGGATAAAAGCGACTAATAAATTGCAAGGTGTTCTTGTCCCGCAGATTCCTGAGGTTCTTTATTTTGTGTATTTAAGCATATTTCAAAACACCATTTTCACACTTATTATAAATGATATTTTAGTACATATCAACTTGTCTCAACTCTTGAGGGTCAGAGTCCTCTATAAGGCTAAAAGAAAAAGGAAGAGACGGAGAGGGAGAAGGAGGAGAGGGAAGGGAGGAAACAGGGTGGAAAGAAGGAAGGGAGGAGGGCAGGAAAGGGAAAAAGGAAAGGAGGAAGGGAGAATGGAAGGATGGATGGATGGACGGACGGATGGATAGATGGACAGATGGACAGACGGATGCATAGACAGAAACTCAGGGAAAGAAGTAGCATACCCTGGTGTTCTTAGATAAAAGAAGATCCTCAAAGGAAAAAAATTGAGCTGTCCTGGTGACCTTAGGCTAAGAAGAAAAAATGACAGACTCTTGGAGAAGAGGGTGAGAAGACGGGAATCTGTTTCAGCGTTTTAGAACATTCTCTTAGCCGACCTGTTAAAGCAAGTGTTAGAGTGGCAGCAGTGTCCTGACTGACAGTGTTGCTGAGGGAGAGAAGTGCAGTGATGCTGGGGAGTTCATTTTATGTCAGTTTTCAGGGATGGCAGGGGGCGGGGGGTGGGAGTACCAGTTCTTAAGTCCTTTGGCCAGGCTCTCATGTGCCGCCTGGGTTTTGCCAGATGTTCATCACGGGCTACTCGGTGGCGGCTGGAGCCACGGGAAGACTCCTCTTTGGCTATGACAGCTTTGGCAACGTGTGTGGCAAGAAGAATTCCCCAATAGAAGGGGCTCCTCTTTCAGGGCAGGACATGACCCTAAAAAAGTAAGTGTTCAAGTAAATCCCCAACCTACAGAGGCACTGTATTTCAAACTTTGTGTAAATTAAGTCATTCTGAGCCTGGAAACTTTTCCTATTCAAAACTCGGTGGGTCTGGCTCATAAAAGGGAGGCATGTGTGTGGCAGTAAGGACACAGGTTTTAGAATCAGCCAGTCCGAAAATCCAATTCAGCCTCTGCTGCTTTTCAGCTGCGTGACCTTGGGGTAGCACTTAACCTCTCTGAGCTGAGTTTTCAGCCTTTTAAGTATGGTTTATTGGGCCCATCTCACAAGGTTGTTTTAAGGATCCATTGAGACCTGTATGAGCTAAGGCTTAGTAAATTTTGTTACTATTATTATCAAAAAGTATCAATTTTTAACCAATTATATGTTACCAAGTGTACATGGGCCACAGTATTGTTTCAGTGCGGAAATACCTGGATCTCCATGGGGAATGTGAAAGATTGTGTCCCACCCTCCTCCCCTGTCTACACTCTCAACCACAGCACTGTAGAGTCAAATTTCCCCCCTCCAACTCCAACACAAACTGGAAGGGGAGAGAAAAGATAGGAGTCTCCAGAAGGAAGAGAACTCCCTGGCCATGATTTTCTAAGATGGAGACTGACTGCCTTGCAACAATTTTGGGGATTTGATGATCAAGAGCAGCTCCTAGGACAGAGATCTTTAGGCTCTAAAAAGGTCCCGAGTGTAAGTGTGGAGTCACCAAGTACGAATCTCGGACCAGACCACTTCTACCCGCGAGTGGTGCCTCTGAACGGGAATCTCTGTACTCCAGGGTGTGGATTACCTGAGGGCATTCCCTCTGCACTTGGGGGTGTCACTTGCAGAGACAGGAAGAAGAAGGGGCTGCCCAAGTGCACCCATGCTCCTGTGTCACATTGTATTCATAATGCAGTGTTGATAAATATTCCACTTTGAAAGTCTATATTTCATTAATCTCAATAGCCAAAAAGTAGAAACAACCTAAATGTCTATCAACATATGCATGGCTAAACAAAATGTGGTGTATACATATAATGAGTTATTATTCAGCCTTAAAAAGGAAGGAAATTCTGACACATGTTATGATATGGATGAACTTTGAGGATATGCTAAGTGAAATAAGCCAGTCGCAAAGAGAAAAATATTTTACGATCCCACTTACGTGAGGTATCTAGAGTAGTCACATTCATAGGGACAGAAAGTAGAAGGGTGGTTGCTAGGAGCTGGAGTCAGGAGGCGGTGGGGAGTTTCAGTTTTGCAAGATGAAGAGTTCTATGAGTGGGTGGTGATGATGGTTGCATAACAATATGAATGTACTTAGTGCCACTGCACTGTACACTTAAAATGGTAAATTGGTATGTGTATTTTACCACAGTTAAAATTTACTTATAATAAAGTATATATTTATCATACATCCAGGAAATCTGTTCCCCTATCTCCTGTTGTACCACTTCCCTTTCTCTCATCCCCAGTTGGAGAGAAAAAAGGCTTCTAGGACCCCCTTCCACAAACATGCACGCACGCACGCACGCACGCACGCACGCACACCTTTTATTCCCTCCCCTAGAGGACCACCTACAGGACCCTTCCTCTGGCATCCCTTTATCCTAGCAACCTGGAGAGGTGTTGGGCATGGGTCTGGGAGCTGCCACTGCTAGCCCCAGTTTAGTGACTTCCTCAGATAACTCCTTAGTGTTATCCCTTAGAAAATGCTGAATCTGGAAAAGAGAAGTTTTGTTGACATTTGAGTGTGGTTCCTAAGCTGTGTGGCTCTCTAGATGACCCCCAGGAAGCATAATATACATTAAATTATGCTGAAACGTTTGATTACAAAAGTTTGCTTAGTTACTCCCACATTTGATAGCATGTGCATATTTTTGTAAGAACCACAATTAATTCCAATGAGAAGACATCCTCTAAGACATTCTCCTGTTTCCTCTGTCTCCCAGGCACGTGTTCTTCACGGATTCCTGCAATCTGCAAGTCAAGGACGGGAGGCTTGGTTCCACTGTCCTCTGTGTATCCAGCTGTCCTGAAGAGCAGCTCAATACCCTCGAAGACATCCAGCTCTTTGCAAACAACAGTGGTAGGCACCGAGAGACGGGCTCGTCCCCCTGAGGCTGGGCACCATGCTGGGCTAACCTGTGCAGACCTACGTGAGACACCTTACCCTGACACTGCTTTCTTTGGAAATGCGGAGATTGTCCTTCTTTGTGGGGGCCTCTTGTGTGGAAAAGGTCATAAACATTATCTCTTGAGCTCGTTCCGTTTCATTCAGGTTTATCTGGATTTACCTGAAACTCTAGCTGTTCTCTGCTCACTGCTGGGTAGTGGCCTTCCATAGAGAGTATAGACAGCAGACATTTAGGGCTTGAAGGCAGGGTCATACAGGGGTCAGAGAGCTCTGTGCACATGGGCACATCCAGTCCTAGACAGAAACCCACAAGCTTCTGGTTGGATTGCCCGTAAGTATGTTCTTTCATCAAAATGTTGGGGCCTGTGGCTACCAGTGGGATGGTGGTAAGTTGTACCAAACATTTGTATAACTGAAGTACCTTGCTCTGAGCCCCCTTTTCAGATTTGTGGTTTAAGTGTTAAACACAAAATGAAGGGAAATTGGAGACAACCCACTGCCAATTTTATCTGCCTATGAAATGGTATACCAGATTTTAAAAAGTTATTTGCAAGGCTGGGTTGAAAATACCAAGCTTGTACAATAAATAACCTTCAGATCACTTTAGTACCAATTATAGAGTAAAAGTTCCAATCATTTTAGTTGTGAATTTGAGCTTTTAGAGAGAGAATGAGAAAGAGAGGACCTAACTCGACTTCAGACAGTATGCTCATTCTTTTTGTCTCTAGGTCGCCTGTCGGCCTGTGTTCTAGATCTGAGTGATTTTTTCTGTCTACCTACCAGTTTCATAAAATGATTGTGGTTTTCTTACTGGCTCCCCTGGAAACATGGGCACAATATAGGAAGATGGTACAGACTGCGTATCTTCTGCTTCCAGGGTCCTTCCTGTGTGTTTATAGTTTGAGTTCTTCCAACTACACCCAGAATCCAAATGCAGACTCATTGTGCCCCAGGCTACCTGTTCCTCCAAGGTAAACACTTCCATACTTTTTCCTTATTCATTAGCAAAAGTGATTGGGTACTTGGTGCATGTCTTTTCTTCTTCTGGGTATTACGGGGAGCACCAAGAAGACAGCAGGTAGAGCCCCTGCCTGCAGGGAGCTTACAGTCTATAGTAAACCAGGGACAAACTAGGAAAGATTATTTGCAATGTACATGACAGACAATGGGTTAGGAATCAGGCCAAAAAAGGAAAAAACTGAACAAACAATAAAGATAAACATAGTCCTCAAATGACAACACTAGAGCTGGCAAAAGTAATATATGAATTGTTACAGAGTGAGTAGTTTTATAAAGTAGTTTGCGTGCATTTTTTCTGCTCCAATTATTTGTCACAAAGTAGAAATTGTTGCCTTTTTTTATTGCAACCAGACATTCATTTTTAAGCTCTGGATTTCTCTATTAGAAACACCTAGATATGCAGGCCAAGTGGCCACCACACCTTTCTTCTCAATGAAAATAGAAAACAGCTGCTTCTCAAAAATAACACTCAGTGAACTCCTTTAAGGGTCTTGTTCATTTCTGTCAACTAGGCACAGAGGAGGCACCTTGTGAATATTTGTAGAATAAAGCGGTAATGATGAAGCAGTAGTTGCAGTGCCGTGGTAAATGGCTCACGTTTGGGCCATTGAGAAGGTTAAGGGGAAAACTAATCATTGCCATTGTTAGGATACTGAGATATGCTGAAGGAGGACTCAGGTTTATTTTGTATTACTATTCTTTTGAAAATTGTAAATATGTTTAAATGACTGAGTCTTCTGTGCAGAATCTCTGAGAAATAATGATAATTTAAGTAGAACAAGGCATTTTGCCAACTGCCTAGTACAGTGTTTACCAAACTCTTGGTTGGGACCCACAGGAAGAAATTTATTTCATCACAACCCCCAGCACACACACTCCTTCATCCAAGTTTACATAGACGGAACAGAAATAGAAGTCTCACAAAACAAGATTTCCCCCTACTACATATGACTCACACTAATAGTTTCTGTTCTATTTTACTTTTTAAAATGTAATTTATTTCATAATATTCTAATGGGTTGCAAATGAAGCTTAAAAATGCTGATCTGGCAGGTGTTAAAAAAATAATTGAGTATGTTTTAACCGAATAGGAGGAAGAATATAGTCAATCATCCTTGTAGTATTCTTTCCTAAAATATTTTGTGCTATAAGCAGTTGAAAGAAAAGAGAATTATTTGCAGAAGAGAGTACCCATTGCATTTTTCTATAATACCTTATTTTTTAAATTCTGGGTGTCAGATACCATAAACATGTCTCAATGAAATATAACCGAACCCAGGAAAATAAACTGCAGTGTTTTAATAGTTTGAAGAAAAATTGTTTAACACTTGGAGGGAAGGGTGTTTTTTTTTTTTAGTTTTATACCCTTTGACCATCATCTCCCCATGTCTCCCTCCCACCAGCCCCTGGCCACCACCATTCTAGTCTCTACTGCTATGAGACTATTTTATTTTTTTCTAATTACATTTATTGAAGCAATCCCTATAAAGCAGGTCAAATTTCCTTGATATCTGGGAAAATCAATAATCTTGAATTTGCCACTTACCAGAGCTAACTCTCTCCCTATGCTACCGAGACAAACTAAATGGTACAACTTAATTGCAGGGAAGAAAAAAGCATTTGTGGAAATATACTAGAAATCTAATGCATACTAAACCCAAACAAGAGATGAAGGCCTACGGGATATATAGTACATTAAAAGCATTAATGAATGCCTTAATATTTTACGTATACCTTATAAAATGTTCTCATATGCACCTACCACAGCCCAGTGTGCAATATACTGTAACCTCATCCTCATCCTCATCCTGCAGGTGACTGTGGTCCCAGCTCTGCCACTAGCCAGCTCATGCCCTTGAAGGAAACTCAGATCACCAGGTCTCGGCTGTTTAGTGTGGGGCTGGGACTCATACCACAGTCATCTCATCAGGCCCTTCTCTCACTGATCAGGACTAGCAACAGTCATTTGATACAGAGCAAACAAATCATGGGGAGAACAGCAGCCAAGCACCTTCGAGCAGACTAACCATATTCTAATTCTGACTCACAACTTGATTTTTTTTCTTGATATGTATTCTTTAATATGTAAATATCCTTGTTAGCTTCGCAGTGTTCTTCTGTGGTATATATTTTAAGGTATGTAAATAATATTGCACATTTTTTTTAATGCTCTATGTTTTATAGATCTATACATGTGGATGAGTTTTAGGAGGATTATAAGGGATACAGTTGGTGCCCTGCCCAGTTATGCTTTACCAGACATAGTGGCCTGCCTCCCAGCTGTCATATATATTGGCTGAAAGCCACTCACAGCTGCCACCTTCTCTGGGGAATTACCCTTGGTCCAACAGAGCCAATTGGCCAAGAAGACTACCCCTCCCCACCACCCCCACCCCTGGAATGTGGCCAGTGACTGACAGATACAAGGGTGCATGTGTCCCAGAGCTCCCTGGGGGTCAGGCTGAAGCGAGTCTCCAGCCGAAATCCCCTTCTCACTTAGCCTTTTATTTCTTTAGCCTTTTCTTCCTCATTCCCTTCCTCCTGAGAACACTGCCCTCCAGAATCACTTGAACAAGAATCCCCATCTCAGGCTCTGCTTTTAGGCAACCTGATCTACGATGGTGACTGCATATCATCATCTAAACTGGTGCCTCCACCATCCTGTCTCTGCTTCTATGAGATTGACTATGTTAGATTTCATGTATTTTCATTTTGAGAAGGATTTTTTTAAAGAACACTCTTTGTAACTGTGCCTACAGAAGGAATTGAAAGAGAATGGAATCTTTAAAGTTGTACCTTAACCAGAGTTGGATCTCCTCTTACTATAAATGGGATGTCAACTGTAAGTCCATGGGGAGCATATATCTTGATACTGATGATAATAAGAGTGAGCATTAATTGAGCTTTTGATACTTGCCAGGTACTTTTCTAAGCTCTTAACATGTATTTATTTGGATCTCACAAAACCTCTGTGTCGTAGATACTGTTTTTATCCCTATTTTATAGCTGAGAAAAGTGATGCAGAGCCGGGTTAAGGTACAGCCAGCAAGTGGAATTGCCGGCATTTTAAACCAAACAGCATCTACATTTATTTCTATGACCCAAAACAGCCAAGGCTCCGCTGGTTTTATTTTGCCTGGCAAATGGCCTCCTTGGGTTCTCACCAAGGTATGGGGGGTACTGTGTGTCCTAGGATCACCATCTCTCTACCTCTGAAGCCAGTCCTCGTCCTTTCACCCCTTAAATGCAGACCTTTCTAATACCAACTTTCCAAGTGAAGACAAAAACTACTATTGACTGGCCTTTCTTGGATGGATTTAGGGAGATAGAAATAGCCTTGAGGGCTCCATTTCCTTTTCCTACACAAGCAAGTGTTTGTTTTAAGATGGAAATGATCATATTTATCATGGAAGAGCTGTGCCAAGACTGAAAAGCTTGAAAACATGAGAAGCATGGCTATAGGGCCAAAGTACATTTTCTAAATACCTCTTTTTGACTAAACCAATTGTTTCTTCTTCCTCTTTCGATAACATGCCCTTTTAGAGAAATGGCTGAATATCAGGAAGGTTTGTGTACCTAGGTATGAGTTCTTCAGAGCAGTTAGAAAATGCTGCAGAAGGTAACAGGCAGGCAGATCTTGCCCCGTCTAGTGTTCAGTGTAATATTGTATCGTGAGTCCCTTGTGTATTTAAAATCTGAAAGGCTTCGGTTTTTCCCTCCAGTAAATTCTAGATGTAGCCTCCCACATAGGTCCCCATGCATGTCATGGCATTGTTTGCTTGGATAAATTCCAACAGAGTCATCTAAATATACAGTCAGCTCTCCAAATTACTTCCTGCAGATTTGAGTGGCTTTGCTGGTGGGGAGAGGAAAAGCAGAAGTGGGGAAGAAATCACAGTCTGCGACCAAAAGACACATCCCCCACACCAGCTAATGAAATACTTAGTGCGCAACTGCCATGCACCAGGGGTGACCTATACTTTATGTGCCTCTCTTCACCCTTAGAGCTAAGATGGGTCATTCTTTACCAGCACAGGGTTATTAAATGCCTAAAAAGTACCATAGTTAACAAACCATGTTGACAAAATTCAGGTCTTTTGGAGAATTGTGTTTGAGGGAAAAACAAATAAAATGACATTAAATATGTATCAGACATTATATCAGGCTTCATTATTCAGAAATATTAAATGGAAGTTCAGAAAACATTTGCTTTCAAAAAATTAGATTTGTTGGTGTTAAGGCTGTTTAGTAATAGAAAGGAAAAATCAGTTTTAAAAATTGGAAGGCACGAGGTGGAATTACTACTCTGCAGGTGGTAAGAAAATTAACCAAAAACTGCAGATGATAAGAGAACTTATTTAGATGACAGGGAACAAGATTAGTATACTGAAATCTATAGCATTCATATAGTTTTTAAAAAGACTCTTTTACCACATCAAGAAAAAATACATACAAAACCATACAAGTCCCTAGAAAGAAATTGTGAATATGAATCAGAAAGAAAATTTTATAGATTTCTGAGGTACAAAGAAAACTTGAACAAATGGAAAGACAGTGTTCTTTTTTTTAAAATTATTTTTTATTTTTATTTACTTTTTGATGGTGATATTGGTTAATGAAATCCAATAAGTTTCAGCTGTACACTTTAACAGTAAGGCATATATATATATATTTATACTGTGTGTTCACCTCCCATAGTTAGATTTCTTTCTGTCACCACATATTTGACCCCTTTACCCCGTCTACCTCCCCACTCCCTTCTGGTAACCACTAGTCTGTTGTCCATGGCCATGAGTCTCTGTTTGTTCATTTCTTGCTTTTTGGTTTATATCCCACATATAAGTGATATCATGTGGTTTTCAACTTTTTTGTCTGGCTTATTTCGCTCAGAATGATTATCTTGAGGTTCATCCAAGTTATTGTAAATGACTATTTCATATCTTCTGATGGC